TACAAGCTGACAAAGAAAATGATAGCCGAATCCTGAACTCCAAAAACTGCTGAAGTAATGAAGAAAATCAAATTCAACTCTGCATTTTATTTTGTACCTCTTTCTCGATAAGAAAAATCCTGCTGAATCAAATGTTTTGAAAAAAGTTATGGGTCTTCAGACATGGATCAATTTGATTCTAATCGGAATCAAACTCCAGATATTTTAATGAAATACAGCAAAGCTGGTTCAAAAATTCGTTCGCGCAATTTCTAATCGCAAACTCGTTCTATTTCGATGAATTTATTGAATTAATTTTTTTTTAATTTCATTAAAATGAGGAACTCATAGTTCTTGAATGTAAGTAAATTGGGTGTGCCTTTCTAATACAGATCAAATAGATAAGAATGCAAGAAGAGGGTTGCTCGAATTTTGGCAATTTCGTGCAAGCTCCAAAAATTAAAAACATTGAATAGAGCGCAAAACATTCGTGTAATAGGGTTTGTAACCTCACTTGTAAGCTATCGTAGTGAGCAGAAGTTGTGATAAAGTTATATATTGTGAGAAAAATAAAAAAATCGTTTTTGAGTTTTTGCAGTGTTTTCACGAAATTTTTAACTCTTCCTGGAGACTCTCGATCAGCGAAGATTTTATTTAACACATTGACGAGCGCTTGACACACATGGTGAACTTCGTTAAAATGACGACTATCTTAGTACAAACTCATTCCAAAAGTTTCCTTTTGCTGTGAATCCGGAAGTAACCTCTATCATCTTTGTTAGCCTTCCACAAATACTGGAGGTATATTGTGAATGGCAGTATGCATGGTTTTATCTAAGAAATGCTGACTGATCCGTAAATGGTCTTGGTCCCAAAAGATAGGCAATAAAAAATTTGCGTTGTCGTCAATGTGTTAAACGGAAAGTAAAAATTATAAAATCTATGTTTCCTATTTCGGTTTGAATATTAGATTGATGAGCTTGCTTGAAGTTGGCGAAATCCAAATGATCCTTGCATTTTTACCCCAACAAAAGCAGCCAAATTACCATTAGAAACTGCATGTTCTCCTTATGCTAATACAATTTATGAAAATAAAATCTATGGATATCAAGAATCCAAAATTTTTTCAAAGATGTTGTGGAATTTTCGGACCAACTATAAACATCACACGAGATACGTACTTCATAATAAAACGTTTCTAGTTGAAAATGCACATGTGTAATCCAATCTTTTACAATACACTCTCATCCACTCAAAGTTAATAATCTGCAAAACAAGATGCGTAAATGATAAGTCTCATCTCGAGATATGTGTATCTTGAGGTTAAGTGGACAATGAGCAAACATCGCTCATTTGCTGCTGTATGCTGGAGGTAGAGTCGCCATTTGCCAGCTTTTGGCCACTTTTACTAGCGATTCGCTAAGCAGAAATTCTCCAAAATTATTCTCTTTGGCTTTTGAGCTTTCATCTTATTTACTTAGATCATGAATTAATTGTTTGATAATTGATACCTTGGCATTTTCAGGAATAAATAGAGTTTCTTGCTAGTTGGTTTTGGTTCCATCTTGCAACAATCGAACTTTAGTATTCAGAAAGACTTCAAAATTTCTTGTTTTTGCAGTATAAGCCCCGAATGCAAAGCTGGCTGGCCCGCTTTTAAGTAATGGGCAACATAGTTAGTGGCCATCTCAGTAAACAAGGCTCAAAAAAGCCGATGAGACTTAGATGTGGCTGAAGTTGAACTGCCTGCAAAATACCCTTACCTATGGAACTGAGAAAATTTTATTCTTTCCATTCATCAGCATGTAAGAGAAATATAGATGCTAGCTTTTTCTTAAATTGACAATCAAGATTTCTCCTCAAAATTCACTCCGTAACAGAAGAAAGGTATTTTTTCGTGTGGAAAATACCATTTTTCGATATTTTTTCCTCCGAAACTATCCCCTCAAAAAAAACTTTCGATATAGGTCTTTAACTTTGATTTCCATGTTTGATTCATGATTTCAAATGTTTCTTCAGCAATAAATGTTACCAAACTCTAAAGAACGTATGTGGTTTGGTAATAAATTTCAAGTTTCTTGAAAACTAAAGGAACCCAAATCCTCTCAACATTGATAGGACTAATCTTGTTGAGCAAGCTTGATTTATTTCGGAAGAAACACCTTTGTAGCTTCTATCGTCAATCCTCATAATTCAAACATTGTGGATTCAATTTTTTGTGTGAAAAATGTACCAAAATAATAACATAGAATTGTTAACTAATCTAGCTTGCTTTATTTACGAAATAAAAGCCATAAGAAATCCTCTATGTGATACTTTGTGACAAATTTCCTTTATTACTTTTTTTTACTCCGTGTGCTTGTGAACATTGCTCTGCTGTTCTCATTGAGAACTTAGAGTTCGTGGGTACCAAAAATCTAGTATAGTATCAACTGCACTACGGGCGCAAAGCTCTTGAGTAATTCGACTATTTTGGCACCTCAATCGCTACGGGAAACGGGTGTCGGAAGTGTTCATTGTTGTTCTCTCGATACTCTTTTTCAATGACTTCTGAATCGATAAGTAAAGCGAAAACTCTATAACGTGGAAAAATGCAAAATTCGGTATTTCGTAAGACATCAAAAGCAATATTTGAAAGCGTGAAGGGATGGTATAGTAAATGCCGTGATTTTTTGGCAAAACACGCAAAACTCGCGAAATAGCGTTTTTGAGTTGCTGTTTGTCTTTGTAAAAGGATATTTGGTCATATTACTGAATTCGACTTTGCTGCATAATTCTTACGGTCCAAATGATACAGTTAATAGTAGTGGGTTCGCACTTACAATGAAATCACGAAGAACACGCGATCTCGCGAGTTTTGCGTTCATTGCAAAATATGATGGCAATTACCGTAGTATCATTTTTTCCTAATTTCCTGGCAAAATCTCAGTGAAGGCCTTCCACACCAGCACTGTTTAATGAAAAGCTATTGTTTGTCTTGTGACGGACATTACGCTGCTTGTGATCTAAAAAAACGCTGCAAAATTAGCGCTCCATTATCGCTTCTTGACACAAAATTACGCGGTAAAATGTGTGATGACACTCGGTAGTAGACTATTTGCTGCTATGGGTTGGAAATATGATACGCTAGAGCGCGCAGACTCGAAGGATTAGTGGAACAAGCTGCATTTGCCATCAAGTCTTCAAAACATCCGCTCACAAACACTAGTGCAATCTATTGGCTTAGTTAGTAAATTTGCTGCAGCGGCTACGTAGTATCGTAGCTGGGAAAAGCTAAAAAGCTCTCGTTTCACTTGGAAAGGCTCTGACTGGCTCTATAGAAATTTCTGATTTTCAATTTGAAATCAGAAGTGTGAATTTGCGACTGTTGATTCGTGTTTTACTTACGAAACTGGTGTGCTGAGAGAGAGCATTGCCGGCCACGCCCCGCTTTCCTCCGGCCTTCCTCTCTAATGAGGCGGGGGCCCGCGCGCCCCCTACCCCCCGCTCCCCCCTCCCACCCATTCGACGATGTTCTTCATGAAAAACCCGAGCACTTTGCCAGCTACTACGATATCGCAATTTTTTTCTCATTCTCATGTTACTTTTGCACGCATAATAGAGTGTCTGTGTGGTTCGTGTATCGTCTTGACAACGCTTCGCTTCGTCGCTTTTGCACAGCAAAAATAAAGGGAGGGGGAGGGGGAGGGGGGTCGAGGGTTTGTTAGAGAATTTGTGACATTGTCCTTTGCATATCATGTCTCTAATGCTGTGCTTAGGCAAACTGAAAGCCTGATCTTCAGGGGCTGCTCTCCTACAAACATTGGTTGAGCCGAGGGGACGCACTTCGTGTAAACTAGAACATTGTTGCAATTAATCCTCAGTGTCAGCAGCTTCAAGCTTTCTGGCTCTTCCAACCCCTTCAGAATTAGAATTTTCTCATCATACCCCTTGTTCTAATTTTTTTGTGTTTATGACCACCTCTTGGACCAATAACATTACTACCAAATGGTGTCAACTGCTTGCTGCCACTTGGCAGGTCCAGATCGCTGCCTGATCCATCGTTTTTTATCCTATAACTCCCGTCTCATTCGTACTGTTTGCTCGAAACTTTTACCAGTCAGCACTAGCAAAGTAAACTCTCAACTCTCAGCTTCTTCTTGCTTATTTCGTGGCTTTTCTCGCCCGGCCACTGCTCTTCGTCGCCAGTACAACTTATTTTGCGTGAGAGCGCTTGAGGCGCCTCTCTCGTACCTGAATTGAATTTAGCGTCGAGCAATAACAGACGGTGAACCCGGGACCAGAGCCAAAAGCTCTTCCAGCGGAGGGCGGGGGGGGGGGGGGGGGGAATGGCAGAGCTAACACTAGAAATTCTCCTAACAGGAGAGTGCCACAGCATTTTTCTAAAAATTTCCTATATAGTTATTCTCTCTTGAGGCGCAATTCTAGTCAATAACACCCACATTTGTTTTTCTGTTACATGCCATGCTTTCCAAACATTTCCTGCAATTTCTAGCTCCATATAAATCCATAAAACAATTTTTACTGGATTCCTAAAAACATATCCTAAACAAAACCTTTTCCTCTAAACCCATTTGACTTTTATATTCTCATTATAACTACCTTCTCTTCTCAATACTCCTTCTCTTTCCCTCTCTCGGAGTATCGATTGGCCATGGTCTCCCCCTTCAGCACGGCTCTCGATTCTCCAGCTGGTTACCCCCCTAAAATTGACAAGGATTATGCTCAAATTAGTCCTTTAGATTATAGATAAAATCTATTTACATAATTCCATGCATTTTTGCCTTTGTTATTTTATCCGATGTGTTCGAAATGGCTGACGAACTCCGCAGCATGAGACGCATATCTCATCCATTTATACGAGAAAAAAAACCGAGGCAAGCAGCTGTGAGGCATCCGAGCATGCAAGATCCATGCTTCGTTTTGCGCTTCTCTTTCTTCTAAACTCTTCAATTCTTCGTCTTTATTCTCTGAAACTTTTTTCCCCTTTTTATGTCATTTTCCTCCAGATATATTCAACGATGTGGTACGTTACATCTGTGATTGCTCTGTTAATTCCATTATGTGCTGCTCAGGAGTCAACGGTGAGATCTGGCGTCAGTTACCGTTCTTACCTTTTTTTCTGTTATTGAGAAATCTAGTCTGAGCTAATCCGGTTTAAAAAAAGAAGAAACAAAAATAGATCCTGGCACGACTGCGCAAACAATTTCGGCAATAAAAAAATCGCACTCTTTCTGTGTTTTTTTTGTGATATGAAATGCTATTCTAGGATCTGCTTTGTTATTTGTTGTTTTTCGTTTTGCTATTTCGTTTCCTCGACGAAATTCGATGCCCAAGAACAGTCTTGCCTTGAGCAAGATGATTGGACATATTCAAAACAAGTTTATACTGCATTCACATTGTCGATATAAATCCGATTTCTAGCAAAAGTGTAACGCATTCAACTTTTTGCAATAGTTTTTCCTTACTCTATGGCCACAATTCGTTATTATGTTGGACTCTTTCGGCTTTCTCTGTAACATGAGACTAATTGCGCGGCAAAAACCATAGAGTGCACACCCTAAATAAACAAATTGCTGGTTTTGGCGTGTGCTATGACCAAACGACCAACGGGCAATGCAGTAGAAAAATAATGCGTATGCTCTTGAAAAAGCACTACCATAATCCTACAGTATAGCCTTTTCAAACCGAGAAAAATCAGAGAGTAATGCGCAGCTCTAGAAGAATAAAAAGCGATGCTGTAATCCTACACTATAGCCTTTTCAAGCCAAGAAACTGAAATACAATATGTCTGTCAGGTTCTTGTCGCATGTCCAAAAGCCGTAGAACCACCGTAATCCTACAGTATATCTGCCTTTTATAGCCGAGGAAACCTTAGAAAACAATGCCGTTTTTTAGGAAGATAAAGTTCTACTACTTTTACCGTAATCCTACAGTATAGCATTTCTAGCCAAAGATAGCCTAGAAAACAATGCGCATGTTCAAGCTGAAGAATTACCGTAATCATACAGTATATTTGATTTTTATAGCCGAAAAAAGCATAGAAAACAATGCGCGTTTTTCAAAAAGCTGAAGTAACACCGTAATCATCCTATAGCATGGCATTTTTAGCCAAGAATAGCCTATAGAACACTGCGCATATTCTAAAAAGCTGAGGACTACCGTAATCCTACAGTATGCCTGCCTCTCTAACTTCAAGGACATTTGATTTTGTTATATTACTTATGCTTATAAAATTGTGGTTCTTGCAGTGCAATTACGTTGGACTGGTGAAGTGTTTTATCAACATACTCGATGAATGGGCTTGGACTCTGTACGAGCTAAAGGACAACGTTGTCACAATTACTTCCGAACAATGCGTACATCTTAAGGAATTGGACAAGTGTATAAAGGCAAGTGGACGAGTTTACTTTACTAGATTTGGTTGTCAGTTCACGTACATTTGCTCAAAATTTCGAGGGAAAGAAGAAACATCTTTGGGATGGTAAAGCATGAGAAAAATCTTTTTTGGCTTGCTCAATTTCTTGTTCGTTTTATTTACCTTTCCTCTTGCAAAGTAATTTGTAGGTTGTTTTTTCTATACTGATTCTCACGAAGAACTCGATTCGACAATTTTTTTGCTCCACTAACTCCTTCGCTCTCCTCAAAAGCATCTACTATCATTTTAAATGAATTCTCGTCATGCTTGACTAGATTTGCAACGTCCGTAATTGACTGCTCTTTCGCTGAGAGATTCACCGGCCAGCCATTTGCATAACTAATGCGCTAAACAATCATCTAAGGTCAGTGACCGTAACCGGGGAGCGACTGTGAGATGTGAAATAAGCAGATTATACCGTCTTACGATCACGCCGACAATATGGTTCTGTCGCGCAGGCGTACGCGCGCAGCTGTTCGAGCTCCACCTTAGCGCTTCTGTATTCAGAATGAGAATGACTTGGAGGGATCCATTAGGGAACAGATGAACCACTTGAAGATGACAATTCGCACACCCGTTGCCGAGCGCCAGATTCTTCGAGTAGGAGGTCGTGGATAGCTAGCCGTCTGTCTCCATTGTATACTTCTCTCAACATTTAATGACGTTAATTGTCGAGCCGGGTAATGACGGCCGATGCGAGGGACACGCTCGGCGTGACCCGGCCGAGCAGCATCTCATCTCGCTGAGAATTAGCTGCGCGAAACTAATCCGTCTCTATGCAGTTAGCACCCAATCAAGTCCTGTTGTGTCCCAGCGGAATTTCGGAACACGTTAGCTGAAAATTAGCAACACTTCTGCTGCTGCTGAGTCGCGCGGAATTCGCGCCGCAATTCTGCTGTCGAGTGGCCACATTACCATACATACCGCGAAGTGACAAGCAGATCGCTATGGCTGTGTTCATTGAGCCGGCAATCCGTGCTCTAGTGCAGCTGTCCTATTCTGGCTCGAATGACGAACGCGATTGACAAGCAGAAACGAAAATCTCTTTCGCGAATTTTTCGCTTCGGCCCCTTCTGAGCAGGTGTGGCCGTGCTCTGAGAACCTCAGAACCTCATTGAAGCGTGTTTTTCCTCATCGTGAAGATGTGAAGGTCGTCAAACTGACTTTGCGCGGCGAGTCGCGAGCAATTTTAGGCCACACGACATGCTCATTTCGCATCACCTCTTGCATTCCGCACTCAGTCAGGGATCGATTCGAAGTTACTTGCCGCCTGTGCACTGAGGGACTTCTTGCTTTGCCTAAGTGGCCTACGACAGCTAGGGCTGATGTGATGGCTTGTTTAGAGGAAATGTACGATTTTTCACACATCTCAGTTATTCTGAGTCTTTTGGCAATGAGGAGCTTTTTGATGCAGAAAAAAAGGTTGCTGGAACCATCACCGAAAATATGCGGCTCCATATATCCCGAAGCCTTCTAAAGACTGGAAAACTTTCAACAGAAATCATAGTAGGCGGAGTTTGTCACTGGGGCGGAGTTTTGCACACAATTGCCGAGCACATGATACAAGCTCAATTTTTTGTTGAAAATTTAGCACCTGCGCGGGCAGATAGGCCAGCAAAATCTCGGATTAGGATATCCTCAGTTTTCCAACGATATCTTTATTATTAGATGCCTAATCACCTGTTCAGCGATAAGCCTTGATGCCTTCCACTCGTTTAGACAGAAAGAGCATAAGTAATAAAATGAGATAAATAAATCATGGGAAAACGTAATCCACTAAGTAATGGATTGGCCTTTTTGGCATCAAAACACCATACCAAATCTCTTCAAGCCTTACCTTATATCTTACTCAGTGGACCAGGTGTAGCAACCTAGAATTTATATCAGATTGGGAAGCCCCAAATCTTGGAAAGGCCACAATTTTCAGATTAGTGTGATGCATTGCAGTGTGTTGATGGCCTCGGATATGAAATTCGATACTCTTGAAAGCTTCAAAAATCTCGCTAGGGTACGAAAACGGGTGGCTTCGGAGCTCTAATGGCCCTTCAGGCTCGCTTTTGAATTGTTGATGCAGCCTATGCTGCTTTCCTGTTGTCGGCAATGCTTCAGCCCTAGTTGAACGAATTTTTTCGTTGATTCTGTGGAAAAGTACGAAGATAGCCGAGTTGTATATGAGAATCCCAAAAAGTGTTTGCATGGTTATTTCCTATGAAAAAAAAATGCAACCGAAATCGTATTGATTGAAAAATTTCTAGAATTTTCAAAGTGCATACGGTAGGTTGGGCTGCCCAGCTCATCAACTTTTTCGTCCCCCCCCCTATCCCGTCACTCAGATTAAGAAAAGCAAATATTAGTTTTCCGAACGGTCGAGTACCTCGAAATAGCAGAAGCAGCGGAGTGTCGTACTGTGTGGGTAAAGTTTACATTAACCAGGTAGATTTCCGTGCTGGGCAAAGTACAAGAAATTCGAGATCTGAGCAAAAATTCAGATCATTGAAAACTCTCCAAGTACAAAATTGTAAAAATGCAGATGTCTGATTCAAGTACACCTCAACTAAGTGTTCAGTTTCACAATGTAACATGAGCTACACTAGCTAATTATCAGTCACGCATTCCGTAAAGATGCCAGATGTTTTCTTTTGAGCAGATGGAAAATCCTCTACGCGAAAAAAAGCAATTTTTGTCTGGCGCAATTTTCCTAACAACAACGAATATATTTTTTTGCCGCATGACTTAATTTATATACTGTAGGAGCTGTGTCCAAATTGTGTTCGCCGTGTCGATGTCATTCAATTCTAGTTTGATTCTGGATTGCTGTGGGGCGAACCGTAATTGTTTTGAGCGGCGAAAATCAATGCAAAGTAGCTGTTATTGAAAATTGCCGCCAAGCTGAATCGTCGACGAGGAGCGTAGTAGAGTGAGGAGGCAAGGAGAAAACAAACACAGAGAGACATGAAGACACATTTGCTGATATGTGTACACTCGAATTCTGGAATGGATTGTCAGGAGTGAAATGAGTTTTTACAGACACGAAAAAATACACAAAAAGTCTGTGAGGATTCTTTTCTCATTAAGCTGGTCTATAAGCCTAGAATCAAAAAAAAAAGAAATTGTTTGTCTCTAATTTCTGCAGAATATTTGTGATTAAGCTATATACTTGAACATATAACACTATTATATTCTGCTATGCATATCATTAGGCTGGCTAAAAAATAATTTCGGCCTTTTAACGGTTTGTAGAAATGTCACAGATAGATTTGCGTACAACTATATGGGAACATTCGAAAGATAAATCAAGCAGCATCGGATGGTCAACTTAGTTTGCTCAAAGATTATTTTTTTGATAGCGAAATGGTGCAATAAAGCAAAAAATGCCAGATTTTTTCGTGAAAATTCCGAAGAATCATGCTCCAAAAAACAAAGTAAAATTGGGTATAAAGTGCACGAATGTTATGCACACTTACAATTTTGATATATATTAGGTCATTCCGAAAGTAATTTCGCTTTTTTCAAACAGACGCCACATGTGACGGAACAAAGGTTTTCGAAAGATCTTGGAGGCATTCGATGCAGAATTTCGTCTTCTTTCTAATGGTTATAAAAGTATTGCAGCATAGTCATTGAGCTTTCAGAAAATAACCAAAACCTGCGACCCATGCTTTTTGAGATGGTCAAGTTTCACAATTTTTTAAAACTTTCATATCAATCCTCAAAAGGAGCTCAAGTAACGATTCGATAGAGTAAACTTTATAGAATACAGCACTGCTTTTTCGTCTTCCTCGTAGCTCGCCGTAATATTTTTTTAGATTTTTTAACAGAACTGTCGGATTTTGGCAGGCCAACCTCAGCCACAATCGCATCAAACATCATAATTTTTCGGAATTTGAGACTACCAAGATGGTACTATGAGTCAGCATTAATTTTACAAAGCAAGTGAGAGTTTACGGGTTCGAAATATCAAATTTCGAGTTTTTCGGGTACAGCCTGGGGCTCGCTAAAAAAATGAGTTACGATGATTTTCCCCCGGAAATCAAACGAATCGGAAACAAAAAACATCTGTTAGAAAGAGGAGAAAATGCTGCATCGGATAGTGCGCGAGCTGCCTTTCTTTTGTTGTTCTACGAGGATTTAGCTGCTCAAGTATGGAAATCGGTAGCATCAGTTAAAATTTTGTTAAAAATGTATGACAAGCTATGGAAAGGAGAAAAAAGTAGTACTGCATCCTATAAGGTTTACTCTATCGAATTGTTACTTGAACTTCCTCTGAGGATTGATATGAAAGCTTTGAAAAAATCGTGAAACTTGACCATCTCTAAAAGCATGGGTCGCAGATTTTGGTTATTTTCTGAAAGCTCGTTGGCTGTTTTGCAACAATTTCATAACCATTGGAAAGAAAATGAGATGCCGCATCGAATGCATCCAAGATTCCTTAGAAACCCTTGTTCCATCAAATGTGGTGCCCGTTTGAAAAAAGCGAAATTACTTTCGGAATGACCTAATACAACCATTTGCGTGGCCATAGAGTAGTAATAATAGTTGTAGTTAATACAATTACTAGTTAACTCGACAAAGTAAAACATGGAGTAAAAAACCACAGAGTCGTAGCTATCTGTAGCTATGTTAGAGTCATTTCTAAGATATTATGTGTATTACACAACATGCGCGTTACCCAAAGTCTTGTAAGATTGGGACCTCCTCATATCCTGCTGTTTCATTGTTTTTTGTCTCTTTTGTTTTGATGGGATATCTATTAATTGGTAGTACACATTTCTACAGTTCAAACGCTGAAGGGGTTCTACTGGGGAGTTACTAATAAAGGTGACGTCGGTTCCCGCATGAAGAGTGCAGCCTCACATATCATGTTACAAGTGACTCTACGATATAGTGATCAGCACTCCTCTCATTTCGATATTAAGGGCCTCTCCATACTAAATTTGAAATCACATTTTGCTGGGCCTTTTAGCACATTAAGCGACCAAAACTCAAAAGATTATGATTGGATTTGAGGAACTCGAAATGGCCTGATTTCCCTAAAATATGTTGAATTAAAGAAAAATTCGCTTGAACTAGGGAAAGATTTATGAAAAATTTTTTTAGTGCTTTTATGAACCAGCTCAATACTATGACGCTCCACCTACATAATCTAATAATTTCTATGAAATAAGAATTCTACATAAACTATCGTAGTTCTGCCTAATATTTGCTCTTTTTTATTTTGTAAAACAGGGAATATTTGAACCAGCTCTTGCAATGTTTGCTAGAAAGAGTTCTATGTTTTGCTTATTGAAGCTGTTATGCTAGAGTAATTTGATATGTCGGAAGTTTCCCAGAAATTTCACACAAAAGATTGAAAGTTGGATGAATAATTTGTTCAATACATTTTGTTCGAAGAATTGGGACCATTTTCATATATTTTGACAAAGTAAAATCATTCAAAATTTGTTGGTAGAAATTCACGATAGAAAATTCTTTGCAAGTCCGGTGAAGCTGTGTTTGACAATGATTTCCATTTAAGTACCTTGGTCATGTAGCCGTAACAGTATTTTTCTGAAAATATTCTCTTTTGTCTAAACATTACGGATGCTACACTGAAATTGCATAAAGTAAATCTTCATTATTTGTACGAAATCTTGCAACATCTCCATTACTTTAAATTGCGAGCTGTTGCTAATGTTTGCTTAGAATCGTACTTCATCAGCGGATAGGACATTTCAAATGGAATTTTTTCTTCTTCTCCTCTCATACATTGCTATTTTTAGAGCAAAAACTCATCCATCCTAGCTGGATGTTTTGAATACGAGATATTGCACTAGCTTGTACTCACGCCGGAAAGGTGCAATTATGAGTAAAATTATTCAAAATTATTCTTGTGCGAATCCGTAATCGCTGCCTACGGTTTTCTGATTTCGAATGGGGTTTTTGGAAAATAGCTTTCATTATTGTTTAATTAGTTATCTGCTGTTAATGAAAAATTTGTAATACCCTAATTCTTTTCAGGACGATCTCGAAGAACAACATCAATGTTCACATCGAGAAGTAATCGAAGTGTCGAATACAGTTTCCGATTTATTAACACATCGCAAAGACTCAGGATCTTTTCTAAAGGTAAGAAATCTCCTTTTTTGTGTTTCTGAATGATGTAAAGTCTATTTAGAGCTACTATCTTCTCACATATGCATGCTCAGCTGAAGGTCAAGAAATTCTCACAAAGCATAGAGATTGCCTCAAATCAGTGAGTGATTTGGTTTGGTTTATTATAGTGAAAGATAGCAAAAATTGGTTTCCGTATTTTTTCATTCTCTAGAAAATGTGTACCACCTTGTTTACGAAACACTTATTACATAACTTTGTTCTCATTCAGAAATCCATGGATACAAATTAATTCTTTTCACCTGACATCAAAAAAGCTGGTTAAGAAGTTTTCAATATGATTCACATGACCAACTTGGAACGGGCCTCGTGCCATTTGAATCTGCTAAAGTTTTTTTCTAGAAAAATTATATATAAATTTTTATAGAGGGAAGTTGCACTGCTATAGTCGGATTTATCAAGTGCAAGATTTTTTTTGCATTCCTAATGTTACAAGTTCATTTGATTCACTCAACGTGATACTAACAACCTTAGTGTGACCTTACGTAGTAATGCGGATAGCTTGAAAAACGTATATAATAATCTTTTACGCAAGTTTTGCGGAGAAAGTTATTTAAAAAAGCTAAAGTTCCTTACAACTTTCATAGCACCATGCTGTATATAAACATATTTGAACCAATATTTTGAAGATGCTTAATCGATAAATGAATTGAAAATAACTGAAAATAGAAATTTTAGAAAGGTTTGAAAATTCGATTCAGAAGTTCTCCAATTAAAAATAGAAGGTTTTGGAAAATAGTCAGACGGTCCTAATGTTGAATCATCATATTCAGAGCTGCTGTACTAAGGCCCGTATGCACGTACATCCCCGCGGGGAGGGGAGGGGATCTGAGAGGGGAAGCGTCATATCTCGCTAGTTTATATATCTTTCTTCTTCTTTCTTTGTCTTGCTTTTGAAGGTTCTCCTACACTGATACCTGCGCATAACGGATGCCAGGTTACTGCCATACAAAATTAGATTTTCACTATTTCGTCTGATCCCCTGGGGATCCCCAGGGGATCACCGCACATTTTCAAAGTCATTTATCTTCCTGAAAATCCACTGAAAATGCTGTAAAATTGTACTGAGGATATACTACAGCAGTACCAAACATGTTTATGGTAGAAATGAGTGAAATCTCAAGATATCAAAATTTTCGATGAACCGCTGCTCGCGAGCCAGGGATTATCGAAAAAATCAAAATCTTCATAATCCATCTCTTCTGACGAAAACATGCTCAGCAGTATCGTAGTATATCTTCAGTACAATTTTGCAGGGGTTTTACTGAGTTTTCAGGGAGATAAATGACTTTGAAAATGTGAGGTGATCCCCTGGGGATCCCCAGGGGATCAGACGAGATAGTGAATATCTAATCTTGTATGGCAGTAACCTGGCATCCGTTATGCGCAGGTATCAGTGTATGAGAACCCTCAAAAATAAGACAGAGAAAGAAGAAGAAAGATACATAAACTAGCGAGATATGACGCTTCCCCTCTCAGATCCCCTCCCCTCCCCGCGGGGATGTACGTGCATACGGGCCTAATGTATAGGTTAATATTATTTTGAACAAACTCAATATTCAAAAAATTATCGGAACATTTGAATCTTTGTAAAAACCACCAATCAGCACAAATTTTTCTTTCCCTTCACCAGCTTGTATCGCCTCCATATGCCTTCTGCTTAATGATTAAATGAGCATGATTCCTTTTCTGAACAATTCTACAATTTATCATAGAAGACACTAACTTTACAAATATCCTAGTACATACAAAACTTACCACTGACTTTTTTTTTTTCAAATATTTCAATGCAAAGTTTATGTTCTAACCCAAGCCTCTCATTTACGATCTAAAATAACCTACCACTATTCCACTCTTACTAGTGTTGTAATAATCTTCCGTATGTCACACAAGTGTCCTGTACAGAGCTTTGAGGTCAGTAAGACGAGCAGGTGTGTACATGTGTAAGTTGACCGCTACAGCTGCTTTGATGACAACATTGGCCAGTTGCCAAGAGTCAGATCCTTTTTAAATCTCGATCGCTTCTAGGAGAAGATTGGTGAGATGACACTGTCAGCGGGAACGTACCTTAGTGAGAAGTTCCTCGAACACGATGATGATGAAGAAGCATGTACAAATGTAACAATTCCTAGATTTTTTAGCAGGAATAGGACACTAAATTTTATATTTTCAGTTGAATCTGAAGCTACAGGAGTATATACGAGCTATGAGCAATTTATGCAGTAAACATGAAGCGGCACAACTTATGTGCAGATCTTTAACAAATATGTTCAAGGTGGGACCTTTCTATATTTTGAACCCAAACTCACAGCAATAAAGCTTCCTTCTTCATGCATAGAATTTCTGGAAGCGTGCCAATCTCAAGCAATAGAATTTGATTAAGGCCAGACTTGATTTGATTAGAGAGATCATTTCCAGCCGAATTCCTCATTTGGTAGCATGGGCCAAGCTTTCATATAAAAAAAAGGAGAAGGCTCTAATGTAATTTTCTTGAAAATTTGCTCAACAAGACTCAAGATGTAGCTTTTTTTACTCAGCGAAAATAAAATAAAACATATGTATTCGTGTTTGATATGTCCCTGAAAAGCACATTTTACTGCTTGAGGTTGCTATGCAAAACAACACAGATAGATTAGGAGCCATTATACTAGTTTTTTTCTGCTGCCAAGAATTTTCCTCGGCCAAATTTGCCGCCACTGACAATTTATCAAAAACGTAATTTGTATCTCCATCACATATATATGTTCCTGCCTTGGGCTAACATGGCAATTTAGGGGCTGCATGTCGATAAACTCGAGAAGTGTGTTTTGGATTGTAAGATCCCCGAAGAAGAAGTGGAAGAAGCAAACAAAGTAAGTTGCATTGTCTAGTAATTCCCTAGAGATCCTTATGGGCTATGGCTAAATTTAGAGATTAGTCGTCGAAAATGGGGAGACCGTTTTGCACGACAGTACGCTCTTATTTCCACGCAGGACCGTATTGCGATAGCGGTTCCTGCATGGAAAACCTTGACAGCATTGTGGTTGTGCAAAATGTCATCCCATTTAAAAATATATTTTTCGCCATGGATAATATATAAAAAAAACTCTATGAATTATTTAGCTCGAATTGCCTGGTGAAGTCGAACCCGTGCAACCGGCACCAGATGCTCTTGGACCAGTAGAGGATTCAGCATCAGCATTTGGTTTACTCATTCCATTCTTAGCCATTCTCGTGCGATAAGTGGAGCGGAAATATCCAAAAACAATTTACCAGCCTCTCACTTATATTAATCTAAAGTTTAAGCAGCACGAGCCACGTGCAAGCATCTTTTCTGCAATGCTATTAGCATCTATTCATTCTCTATCTCGTCATTCTACTGTCATTTACTTGGAAACAATACCGGAATTAGTCTGAGCTTAATTTCATTACGGATATATATAATAATATAGTTATGGATGTTAGTCACGATTAGTTGAAGAACCGATTTCATGCTCTAGTCTAATTGTAAGCAATTGTAGCAAAGATTGCTCCCGCCGTCATTACTGCCCTTTCTCATTATCGTTGTGATAGATATTTATGCTTGTGTACTACAATCTGTAATCCCTCACTGAACGGTGAACGAAGCGCGTTTGCATGACTGGTACGAACTAGGGGTAAGGGAACGAAAGCCGCCAGTTTGAGCCGCCTACGCGGACTACTGTTCCTGGAACGGCGTGCAACACCACTGCAAAAGGACCAGTTGGCCGCGAAAGGCGCAATCGCGCCCTTCGTTCCGCTACCCCGAAGTAGGCTGTGAACTCATAGTTGCGTTCTACCTTACAAAAATTTTGCAGAAGAAAAAGAATTCCAAAAAATTTTGAGGTAAGCATGATCATTCGCAATCATGTAAAAGTCATAACCTGCTGTAGAGGTGTAACAATAGTTCCAGCTTGCACAACGTGTTTTCGCTTTGCTGCGCCAAAGCCGCGTCGCAGCTGTGCACGTAGGAAGCGCATTGCCTGCGTTCAGTGATTCACCCGCATAAAACTGCCTCTAGCTTTGCGCGCACCATTCTTTTGATCTACGGTAGAGGGTCTCCTATGTTTTCAACAATCATAAAATGAAAAGTGTTACATAGTAGCTGATAAAATTAAACCATCTAAAACAGGGTTGACAGTTGTTCACATGCCAGCGCTGTGCCAACACCGTTCCAGTGTGGTGTCAGCACTGTTCCGAAGCCGCGCCAGCCCTGTGCTACCGATGTGTCCAAACTGACATAAACGCGCTTGCTGTTGGCGATAGACGTTCCGGCCCGATGCTGAAACGACCCTGGAACGGCGCTGGCACGAGTAACTCTAAACGCAGCCTAAGAGGTTCAGTTATAGTACACAAGCAGTGATTCTCATTTGCTTTGTCCCGTGTAGCATCATCGATACATGTCTACTCTTTCATGTACCCTAGTGTTTTTTGTTTACTTTCTAAACTACTCTTTCGCATTTTCCTCATGTTTTTTTTTCTTGCATTGTAAATTTGCATGTAAATCACGATTTCCATGACCGTAAATTTCTTTGTAAATATGCTCATTATTATGCATAATCCTCCATCGGAACCCTCTTTACTTTTCCAATCGTACGTCTTACAACCTTTGATGCGTTTTCTATTGTGCTCGTTGATTCGAGATAGAGCAGCTTTTACCCCGAACGGACGTACATGTAAATTAATCGTTCACTTTTTATTGCTGCGCTGCGTTTGTGTATGCGTAGAATCATTGCTTTGGTTGTGCAATAGCTGACATTTTCACATTTACTTGAGTTTTTCTTGTCACTTTATAAAGACATTTATCGTTTTAGCTCGCTATGAGACACAACTGACATTCAAGGAGTACGTTACTCAATGAATAAATTGCCTCCAAACTACTTCGCTATCCAAGAATAGTATCAAGAACAAAGTCGAAGGAGTTTAAGACTATTCAGGTTGTTTATGGCAGAGCAGCCAGAGAGAGCAATAGTTAAGCTCTAGGATTTCCACTAATCTTTCGTTCGCTATGCCGGAAGGAATGGTTGTAACCTCCTTCCAAATCTGAACAAACAAAACGCTCAATGACCGAATACATTTCATGCCGTTGTTCGGAACTTCCGCAGCACGGACAGCTTCGCTGGATTTTGCGCGAAGCTATATAATTCGACAATATGTAGAGGAAATGCTATTTGCCTCATTTTTGCTTTGCTTCATGCACTTGAAGTTCAATTTAAAATGTTTAGGGATTTAAAATTTCACGGGGGATAAGGCATACAGCATTTATTGGATCTGGAGAAAAACTGTTGACCAGAAACACCGTCAACACTGAAAAATGCTTTCATGTGAAGTCTAAGATGGCTAATGATGGGAACAAGGTATGGAACTTATTGTTACGAGTAACCAGAAAGTCAGCCATCCCCATTTTAGGTCTCTCATTATATGAAATCGCACATTTTAGCTAATGAGTCCACAACAAGTAAATTTTTAATGAAAAACCACTTCGCATCTAAAAGATGTATGTCAACACTTTTCCGTATGGAAAATATTTATTCCCTTCGTAAGAAAAGTGATTCAAGGCGAGGAATATCTTCTCCCATGTTGAGTGAGATTGTTCCGTAGCGTTTATTCGACTTTAAGACAGGAAGTGAGGATAAAAATGTAAGTATAATTTTGGTGATCTCAGAGATGCTTATGAAAGCTACAATGGAGAAGGGAAACCTGGGCGATGGTTAAGCAGTATGAAGATTCTCTAGAACATATTATCATTATTTCCTCGTTCACACTAAAAATCAAGTCTGCGACGGTTACACAATATTAAATCAGTTCTTCAAAACTGTGGTTATGAAAAGTAATAAGTCAGGAACGATCAGTGCTGAAGTCAATAAAAAAGGAGTCTTCACATAGTTTGCCACATCAGTGTTTATAAGCGCAATTTTCTAAAGCACTCCAAAACATTTTCCTTTTCGAAAAAATTATTCTCATTCTCGTTTTCGTCTTTTTAGATTTATTATGGGTTTAAGGGAGCAACAATAGTAATACGAAAGCAGGATAGTTCAAGCAAACATTAATGCAGTAAAAAATTTGTCAAAAACTCGGTAAAATTTCAAAGATTCAGAAATTGGATCTTTTACGTGTGACATGTACATATCGAAAATCCACACCAATTCACATAATTTGGTGATGTGGGAAAGTTTTGAGGAAGTTATGGAGGCTTTTCCCGTGAGTGTAACAAAACTCGTACACCAACCTAATACTTCTCACATAAGAAAATCTTTGTATTGAGGAAAAAGTTAGCCCCAATTTCTGTCTCTGTTTGAAAGGACAAGTTTTTTTATCGAGAACACAAGCTTTTGTGATATGGCCCAAACGGATATAAAATTTAAAGATTTTTGTGTCTTTTTTTGGCTGCTGGTATTCTGAAACGTTTAGAGGAAGCCTGTTAAGAGCAATATTCTATTAGAGCGATGTAAACTTGAAGTCATCCCTTCTTCAAAGGTAGCTGTGAGGCATTAGAAGCAATCTGAAAATCCTGTTCCCGTCAAATTTTTTCGAGCCAACCGGCAATAAGCTTCAAAAAAATTTTTTTAGAATGTGGTTGGCAGTTTTTCGGTGCAAAATGGGAGCACATGTTAGCGGACATAGTGTAAAGCTCAGAACGCACATGCTTTGCTTTCCATACGTTTGCTACATCGTCGTGAGTCGTGTAAGCGATAGTTTCATCATTTTTTTCTTGTCCTTTGTTTTTTGCGTTATATTTTCATTTTTTATTATTTTTACATGTTCAGCCAAGCGAAAAGTGTGCATTCGCCCACTGATATGCTGCTAGAGCTGTGCCTCGTCGCAGTTCTAGCTCAAGCATCGGTTTTGTTGAAGCGGCAAGAGATGCAAGAGCTGTTTTCAACCATTGGTAAAGATATTTCCATGAATTTTTCCTTTGATCAGTAACTTCAGCCTTCAATGAAAGTATTACAGATACTGCTGAAAAAGCATTTCTTCGAACAACAGCTATCATTGAACAGCGTACCGAATATGGACGATTGGTGTTGTTACTTTGTCGGAGAAACTGCCCAAGATTACGTTCATTGGTACGTGTTTTTGTGTTGAAAATGCTAACTACTGAATTCTTATTTTAGTTTTGCTTTTGGTTTTAAGATATGCTTCTTTTATTTGAAAGGAACTCCTGTCGAATGGACGTTTCTCAGAATGCCTATGATTTCAAATTTTTCGTTCAATTCCTTGTTTTCAAACTAAAAAAGTTTAATAATTATAATAAGATGCAGTTTTTTGTACGTGTCGCAAAACGTTAATATTTTCGAAAAGATTATATGAACATAAATTGAAATTTTTGAACTGAATTTTTGACCAAACTTTTTGAAAATCAAACGGTTTTTGTAAAATTTTACCGCAAGACCTATGTATCAACCTGATAATCAGAATTTTCTACTATAAACGACTAAAATATGCTTGTCTTTTCAGATTCCTCAGTGGGTTAGGGACATAAATGAGGATAAACAGTACCACGGTAATGAAATTATAGGTTATCATTACTACACGTATAGAAAGGTTTGTATTCAATCAACCGCTATGGTTTTGATTACAATTGTTTCGTTTCAGTCTCTGCCTTTCCTCGACGAGTCTCGAATAGATCAGTTTCCTGCACTAGTGTATTTTATTGCACAAACTCCTACTTATTTCAATGGAAACATCACTAGTAGGGTAAGCGAGTCACTAGTATTTTATGGAGCGTCTAGAACTTTATATAAAAGGCACCTGCAGTCAAAATAGCGCCTACAGTTCGTGTGCCAGCGCCGTGCTAACGCCATGCCAGCAGGACGATTCAATACAGGGTGCGTCCATGTGGATTCTGGCACAGCCCTAGCACGCGCTGGCACAACGCCGGCAAACGAACGACTCCGGACGGCTTAGGGCCTTGAAGGAGATGCCTTGGCTGTCAATGAATAGATCAAGCTTACTTAAATTTGAGAAATAAATCGAGGATGTTTTTATAATGAAGAAGCTTAAAGTAGTAGTATTACGGAATATGGATTGCTAGTAATATAAATGAATAGCTTTAAGTACTTTGATGTCCTTTATAATAATAAAAAACATACTATTCTAGCAATCCGTGTCGAGATGGATCGTTGCACTAGATAGCGTCAAAGTGGAAGTACCTCAAAATCATACTGCTCTTGACTACCTCATAACCAGCAGTTCAAACTGCTCCGAGAAATTTCTCGTCTTCGTCAATAACGAGCGGTATTGTCCTCTCCATTACTGGAATAACGTAGCAAGGTTCGTTTTCTTTTCTTCTGAGCGGTATCATAGTATTTTGATTTGCTTATTCAAAAAAAAATTTCTTTTACTTTTGATGACCTCAACGCTCAAACGTTGCTGAAATTAGTCCCGTAAAGCTAACACCAATCGCTTATCACTAGGTTGTTCACCAAAGTCTGCTGCATCACCAAAGTATAATTATTATTAATATTATTTATTATTATTTGTTATTATTTATTATTATTACTTGTTACTACTTATTATTATTGTTTATTATTATTACTACTATATACCATTGTTATTTATTATTGTTATTTATTATTGTTATTTATTATCATATATATAAAGCTGTTGTGTATGTATGTATGTATCAGTGGCGTACCGAGGGGGGGGCGCGCCCCCCCCCCCGAGAACGGGTCGCGAAATTTTTGAAAAAAGTTACTTACATGGGTTATAAAAATGTGCAAGTGACTTGTTTACTTTTGTAAACAATTAAAATAATTTTAAAAATTTTTCAAAAATTCAAATTAGCCTTATAAAAAAAATTTTTCGGGGGCGTGGCCGACGCCACGCCCCCTTTTTCCAGATTTTAGGGGGTTGGGGGCCCGCAAAAATTTGGGAAGCCCCTAAAATTTTTTCAGAGTGCGTGGCTGACGCCACGCGCCTTCATTTGAAAAAATTTTTCGCCGCCCCCCCCCCCCGAGCCGAAATCCTGGGTACGCCACTGGTATGTATGTATGTGTATACGTTTGTGCGAAATAGAAATTTTTATTTCTGAACCGATTTGGACCAAACTTGGCACACATATACTTCGAGGCGGGTAGCGTGTCATAGGCTCCTTTTCGTCATCGAGCGATATCGATTTTATCGTTTTTTATCGATTTTTTGCTGAGTTCACCTACGGGACTGGGAGTCGGCACAGGGGGGTATGTGAGCATGGGGATTCCGAATAAATATTGGTTTTAGAATTATTCATTAGTTTACCGATTTTATCGATTTGCAAAGTTTGGGTTACGTGGCTGGGAGTTGGCACAAGGTGGTAATCGTGCATGCTGATTACGAATACAATATTAGTTTTCGGAATTATCGATTACTTTTATCGACTTTATCGATTTTGCAAAGTTTGAGCTGCAGGGCTGGCGATTTTATCGATTTTTTGCAAAGTTTGAGCTACAGGGCTGGGAGTTGGCACAGGGGGTAAGTGGGCATGCTGATTTCGAAAACTAAACAGGGAACGGGAAATGAAGTGTAGAAATGGGACAGGGAAAGGCTATACAGGGATAAGGATGGGACCTTTATCACAGTGTTTTGACAGGGTCGAGCGGAGCCGGGTAAGCAAGCTAGTTATTATTACTTATTATTTATTATTTATTAGTATTATTTATTATTTATTATTTATTATTTATTATTATTAACATTATTATTACATTATCATTATCATTTATATTTTTGTTATTTCTATTGTTATTGTTGTTATTATTATTTCTGTTGTTATTGTTAATTTCCTGTTGTTAATATTATTATCATTTTAAATCATTATTTCATAAAACAATATTGTTTTTGAAAATAGCATTTAAAACGACAGCTTGATAAATAGTAATAACAGCGGTAGTAGCAATAGTAAGTGCATTTAACAGCGGTAGTACAACACAACATTTTTGGATGATTTGATAAGGACTTTGATAATAGCTGCGGCTATACAATTTCTCCCGCTTCACACTAGCCACATAAGCAATCAAAAGAAGTTCGGTCGTTTGTTCGCGATTGATCTTGCATATACCATGGGTTTGCGCAACCGTTGTCGATTTAAGATGAAACATGACTATTTTGAAATGGCACATCCCTATCAGGGGACCTGCATTATTGTATTTCTTCCTTCTCTTTCCTAATGTTATTTTGCTTCCGAACTGCAACTGCTGTCTCAGAAAATTTGGAAGCAAGACCTAAATATTGTTTGAGATTCTTGACTGTTAAACGGATGAAGCCAAAGTGTTGTATTATACAGGGTGTCCCAAAAAATGTGCTTACTGTTTGATTGTTAATGACCCTCTTCCCATGAGTTTTTTCGGAATGGGTTAGGTATCGTTGTTGTAGAGCAGGCTTCAAACTTAGATTTACAGTACGGATTGAAATACCAATCTCCCCTCATTGCTGTATTACGGTAGGAACAGCATATGGCGCCACTGTGAGAGAGACCCGTTCAAAAAAAAATTCAAAAATCTGAAAATATGTGTAACAAGGTTTTCATGCATGCTAATCTCACTAGATATGTTTTTGCGTGTTCGCAGAGCTTTTTGAATGGCATAATCAAATTTTTGACGAATATCAGAAATCCGTCGTCACCTTGTATCTCCCATAAAATTTGAAAAAAGCGTTACGGTGAAGTGTGAGTTTCAAATTTGGGATCAGCGAGCCTGATTGACCTAGTGTAAGAGTTTTCAAATTCTTTAATCCTTATTTAGAGGTAAAATGAGACCCTCAACGACGAAATTCCTCTCCATACCTAAAATCTAAGATAAAGCCAGCTCTACAAAATGACATCTAAAGCTCCTCGGAAAGATTCAGTGACAAAAGAATTATTAACAATCAAACAGGAGGCACATTTTTTGAGACACCCTGTATTTTTCATCTAGTACCGCAAAATTTTTGCTCTACCCTTTAATTACCAAATCTGTTCGAAGAGTCTAAAAAAGAAAGTCCAAAAGTATTTCGAGATTAGACCATGCAATTAGAATATGTAGTTCAATTAGACTACTTTTACCTTCTCGCGAACGATCCTACCCCGCAAATTGTAGAACATGAAATCCTATAACATAAACTTTTGCTCTGTTTTTCAAGAATGAAAATAGTAAATGTACTTGCCAGAAATAACTTCAAAGAATACGCAGTTTCAACACTTTTAAGTTTGATTTGTGGATAAACCTTAGCTAAACTTGAACATTTTCAGAACAGCTCACATGTACACTGGTGTGCGGCCGGTACATCTTTCAACACCTCTTCCAGCTGCCATGAGTGTGGTTCTCTATAAGCGATTACCTCTTCTGGATGAAGCTACTTGCCGGCAGATGTTTCTTTTGCATCAGTCAAGCTACAGTATACTATTCCAAGATTACAAACCTCATGCGGTGAGCAGAAATTTAGATGTTTTTAGAAAAATTGATCCCCTTTTTGTCAGTGATAGCGAAGAATATAGGACAAAAATTTTTATTAATCGTTTAGCATCGCAAAATAGTCCATCTTCCAATGCTCAGCTGTTAGCATTAAATATAACATCAAGGTTTACAAAATCTTACTCCGGTAATATTTTATCAATCAGCTATGAATTCTGTGTAGGATCAAAATACGTTTAATGCCAAGAAAAGGCAATATGAACCGTGTTCTTTGGAAGTCAAGCGTCTTAACAAAGCATACCTGCCTATGATTCCGCTCCCCACTTCATAAAATCAAGCTTCGGCTTGGATAGAAACCTTCATAGTTGAAAAAGGCGAACTCGTGTCAATATAACCGGCTGTTATTTTTGGCCGATTGTTCTCAATTTATTCTAGAAATGAAGATGCAGAGCCGTTTACCAAGGCAAACTTCACGAAACCACTATCCCCACTACCGAATTTCTTATTGGTAGACCAAATCGCATAAAATTTCCAGTATACAAGTAATCTCTACTACTCTACTTGAAGAGAATTTATAACGTTTGCAGAAATTCGTAACTAGTTTCTGACTATAGAATTTTTGGTCAGCAAATTATTGATTCTTTTGATTTCTTAGCATATTAATTATGTATTTGTCCATTGTTATTTTTCGAGAATAATTATGGACCGCTGCAGCTATAATGGGATGTCCAAGAAGATTTCTTTCAACCTAACGGCAGAAAACCTGCAATGCTGCCCAGTTCGTGCTCACGACTTTTTGGGTCTACCGCCTTTGCTCCGCCCTGCTCAAAGCCTGGCCAATCGTAGCCGTGGCGTTAACCAATCAAAGACGCACCGCTTCGGCGATTGGTTAACGCAATTCCCTCTCATTTATCAACAGTCCCTTATCTAATGTAATTAATGATGTTCTACCCTTAAGGTGTGGGAACTCATCGACCTCTTGCTACCGAATGTGCCAAATGTGACGGAAGAATGTCCTCCACTCCACGACACTATGTGGAATTCTATCAACAACCCACTCACCGAACTTCAGCTGATGTACTTATCTGGGGAACATGATCTTGTAAAACTAGAAAACAAGCAATCTTATGTGCTTGTTGGTTTGACAGGAGGTATTGCTGTTATCGCCCTTGCTATAAGCATTTTTTGGGGTTTAAACGGCTCAGCATTCACTAATGGATGAATAATAATTTTCGATCTCATAAGATCCTGATTGAGCTTATTTATCAGATCTCTGGTTGTTTCTTTTCAAGCGTAACTTGAATATTAGTATCAGCCCGAAAAAGTGCGAATGTAAGCTTGCGCCCAAGTTTGCCTGCACTAGCGCCGTCAATCAATTAGTAGTTGCACGTACAATAGCGTTGGCACGACGCTAGCACGACGCTGGCACAAGGGCATCTCTAGACACAGCCTGGTTAATGAGAGTGAAACAACTGATTTTTTTTGTTAGTGGAGCAAATAACAACGGCATAAATCCATAATGATTAAGCTGAGGCGATTCCATATCATCAAGTATCACTTTTTCTCCTCCTTTATTGCTCATCTTTTTTCATTATTATGCTTTGAATGCTGTTGTACGATTTAATTCGATGAAATGTCTAAGTCATGTCTGGCCTGCCGAATCTGCATAGAAGTGTTGTAAGAATCAATGCATTGTCAATATGAGCTGTAAAGGATAGGATGTTTTCGAATGAAGAAACTGTATCATGTTTTTTGCATAACATTTGTTTCTTTTCAGTTTTTATTTGATAAACCAATAAATAAACAAGAGCTTGCTCACAAACAACCCCGTATTAAAAGTCACATTCAACAAGAAATAAATAAGAATTTGCACATATATGGTTATTCATGAAGCGGAGCTGATACACTCCATCTTGGTTTTCAAAAACAAAGCAGTAAGGATAGAATTGCCTGTAGATCTCTACAATGATCAATGCTTATGTTCAGAAATTCTAGAACGCATACATCATGATACATATGATCTTCTCGAGTATTAGAAACAGATTGAAACTGCGCTGCGAGTGAAATAACAGTCTTCGTATTATTGTGCATACCTGCTCTCCAGCTGTGCTTCTAGAGCGGTCAGTTGTTCCACGTTCCCAGTGCGAAGATCTTCGAAAGCATCCTTGAGAAACACTAAACCAAAGCAAATTGAATAACCATTCACAATAAAAGTGTTTTCGGACCTGTATCAGCATGGAATTGCCTAGCAACCTCCTTCGACAAAGTGCCTGGATCACCTATCGAACTGACAAACTCGGTGATCACGTTATTTGCCACATCAGATACAGTCTTTTTGAATAGGTCATCGCCTAGAGAAAAGAGTTCACAAATTGTCACCATACTGCGTCACAATAAGAACAAATACCTTCAAATTTCTTTTTTAGAGCAATGTAGAATGACTGAACAACATTGTCATCCAAGAAGAATTGCTCCCAAAGATGAAATAGTTGAAGCAGTTCCTTGAAAATTATCTTTAATAACTCAGCAATAGTTGCACCGTTGTACACTTTTCAAAAATTACAGCGTGGCGATTCAAATAAAGACATCTACTAAAAAAGTTGAATTTCGTACCTGTCCTACTGTAGTGATGTACTCGTGAGGTGGTGTGCTGAATGCTGGAAGATTGCTCATTGGGGGTCCTTTCGTAACTGTTGTTTTCTAAAATTTTCGTACTTGTGAGATGGTTGCCAGAATTTGTGGTAGTGCATTCTGCATCATTCTACGACGTTTGGTGTCCTCCAATAGATCATACAATTTTGGCACTTGAAAAGCAACCAGCTCCCCCTTCAAAGATGCCCTTCACAAAAATTAACGGACTATGACGAATTCCGCTCAACGTTTTCTTTTTTCGAAAGTTTCACCGTACAATTTTGCTTACATCTATCCTTCAGCATGTGTGAATAACGAGCTGAAATGAGCCAACTTACAATCTCCTCCATTTTGGCCTTCATCTTCACTACCACTTTGTCATTCGCAGTCTTGATCACATTATCGCAAACACCTCTGTTCCATTTCAAAGCTGATTTGATATTAGGGGACAATGATGCTGAATAAGATGACCATAAATAAAAAAACAGCAGCGTCAATCTACTCACGCTCTACATTCGTTACCATTGCTTTGAATTCTTGCAAGCCGTATACGAGCTGTCCAGATGCTGAGCATACTGTAATTATGTCTTCCAAGGAACGGGGTCGGCGTTGACTGTCTGACCAGTATTCCCATGATTTCAGCTTCGCCAGAAAGTTCTCTAGGCCTTTCTGTAAATGTGATGTAAAAAAGCTGTGTGAGTATTAGTATGAATCAGTGAAGGCAATCTTACATCAATTGGTTGTTGTACCACATTCTTAACGTCATGTCCAAACAGAGCTTCACTGTGAACAAACACATCTGTAAGGAGATGCAGCAGCTCGGCTATTGCTGTTTTCAAAGATTCCACACGTGCTCGAAATGATCCGCTGTTCTAGAAAACGAAATGTAATATCTAAGTCAATTATGTAAATCAAAAAGCAGTAAATAGACGAGTCCTGATATTGCAAAGACGCTACATTGACCCCCAATTACTACATCAATATCAATTTATTTATTTATTTATTTAAATTTCTCAATTCAAAAAAAATGGGCAACGTATTAGTACTCAGATGAGAGCGCATAGTAAGACGATAAAAAGATGCACTCACCAAATCCAAAGCGTTGATTTTCGACAAAATGTAGGATAACAGAGCCGACCGGAATGGATCTGCAAGATCTTCTATGATCTTCGCTTTCAACTGTTGAGAAGTGGTGGTGAGACCAGCCATGGTAGCATCAGAACGACTGGCAAGAAACTGTAAAAGATTATTTGCAAAGAATATTTACGGGACCTAGAGACCTATGATATGGTCACAGACCTGCGAAACTTTCTGAAGTGATTCGATCGGATTCTCATCGCTAGACAGAAGGTTTGCAAACGATTCTGTCAAGTTTATCTCACTCAGACCTTGCTGGATGGCCTCGGAAAGCACAGTCGAAGCAGCGTCATCGTTCAGGAAGCGCCGCAGCACTCTACATCAAGAATTTCAAAAAAGGAAGAAAAAAGTGCTTTACATTGTTTTGAGAGTACTTTTAGGAAACTTACTTGTGATGATGGGTGAATACGAATTCCAGCTCTTTATATAGGGCATCGATGATGAGTTGCACTGAAGAGAACTCCGCCTTGAACTCCCGCAACCTATTAATGGATACACGGCGAAAGATAGAGATGAATTCTAAACAAAAATTTAAGATAGATCTTTAAAACAACAACATACCATCCTTGCGCCCTAAGCTCTCGTAAGTCTGCTGAATCTCCGTCAGTTTGTCAAAATCAGCTTGTTGAATGGCAAAAATCAGTGCTGTACTCTGCCAAGCCAAGAAACGATCCTTCACCTCCTCGAACTCTTTTGTATCGAAGCCATTCGAAAGGAACTGAAAAGTAGTAAAAATTACAAAAGCAGCCAAAATGTCAGTGCAGATGTGCAAACGTAATTTCTATAGTGACTACACACAACGTTTAACTCATAAAAACTACAAAAAAGAGTAAAGCTTACGTTAGCGAGCGTTTCTTGGCTGTTCTGCATATCCGCTAAACATTCATACATTTTCTGCTGATCATCACGTCCTTCCTCCTGTAGATACTCCATAGCTCTGTCCCATTGTGACCTGGCCTGCAATAAAAGTGTTGACTGAGCGTCCATGAAACAAAAGTTGACATCAGACTCTGAACTTCTCGCAGGAGTATCGCTAAAGAAAGACCCACACTCTCCGGAAGAATGGTATGCAGGTAAAAAAAATGACTCAATCAAATGTGTGCTAGGCTAACAAATGAAGTCAAAATTCCATAAAAGTTAAAAATTGCCCTGTGTAGCAAACTAGATTTTATATCATTTTCCAAAAAGTTAAAACTCCCATATCCCTCAAACTGTAAAGTCAATTGACGTGCTTGTTCCACTCTAATCTCTTGGGTGTGATTAGAGTTACTCTTGATCACAAACCTTGATCACATTGATTAGATTGTTGGTACGAGATTTGGCAGAATCATACTCCAAAACGGAGGATGCTCCACCAAAGGAGCTTTCATTGAGCCTAACCATCCGAATATGCTGCTCCAAGCTGCATCTCAATTGCTCAAGCGTTCTGATCATATCATTCATATTCTCATATCTGCAAACATGACTATAGAAAGAAAAAGAGTTGACACAAATAAAGCACGTACTTGACTCTTGCCTCCTCTATGCTTGATTTCGTCTTCTCTAGTTTGGCAAATGTGTCGCAACAATGTTTCTGTATCCCATCAATGTGCCGGCTCAGCGTTTTTCGTCTCTCCTCATGCGAAAGGCCGTCGCAAAGGGACGAAAGCACAGCACATGGTTCTGAGCGGACCTAGAAATATAGAACTGCACTTCTCACATGAAAGACATATCTACTGGTATACTTTCCTATTCTTTCGTTACAACAAGAAAACAAAAAACCAATGTGAGCAAGACTTACTTCATTTGACTCCCACTCCATGTCAAAAAGATATTCCAACCTGAAATACAACATGCTCAAAAGTACAACAATAGAATTACACTTGCGATATCTAATTTCGGAAGTGATCTATCGTCTGCGCCCCAGAGAGGTTCCCATAGGTACCACGTCATCTCGCTGCCTTTCGCACATTTGAACGTGTTAACCTCGGGCACTTCCGTTGAAATCTCAGGAGAAACATGTCAAAAAGAGCGAAAGGCAGCATCGCACCACGTACGCACGCTGGTTCACATGGGAACCTCTCTGGGGCGCAGACGGTACATGAGTTATGAAAAACTGTTTGGTGTTAAGGTTATCGGAATTTTCGACTTTCCCACATATTCTGGTGCGCCTGGCTGACACAATTAATCCTTCTTTTTAAAAATTTGTGGTTTCTACCCAGTCCCCTAATATTCTGTTACCGTCACTGAAGGGACCAAACAACAGCTTACTATTTCAAAGCATTTTCAAATTGGCAGATGAAGTACGCCGTTTGCATACAAACTTTATATATGTTTTGAGTATCTAAGACTTTCAGTTGAGCACAGCTGATCATAATTGACTTTAAACACTCAAATCAACTTTTGTGTCCTGAGAACCCTTTCGGATCCTTCACAGGTTAATCACGAAAAGGATATTTGCTTTTGCAGCACTGTAAATCCTAGTAGGAACAGAAGACCAATAAAAAGAGGAACATGCCGACTCACAGTGATCATACGGTTTCAAGAACTTCCTCCGCAGATCCAGATAGCTTGCGGAACCGTAAAAAGATTCTGTTGAAGACGTGTCAACGCACGGTAACGTGCAAGTGGCCAGATACGCCTCCTTTGAGTTTCCTGGCTGCGAATACTGAAAGGCGACGTAAAAAAGAACTAAAGTCTTGATAACACCAAGCGGTGTCCAGTGGTATATTCCTATAGTACGCAAGTCATCCGATGTATGAATAAAGATATCTAAACATCACAGCCATACAATGCCACGAAGCATTCACTGTACCCGGTGGACATCCACTTCCATTTAGGCGTAACGGAAAATGTTGTCTGTATTCACCGCAAAGTCATAAATAGTACGCCATCAATTGAACAAACTATCCATTTATCACACAATTGAGTGGATAATGCATCAGGGTGAGTATATAGGCTTATCCATTTTGCTAACGCAATCCATGAAATAAAAATGACAAATCGTTTACTTTTATATAGCAATTTTATATCAATTGAACATGACAGCATAAAACCAATGAAGTACATCACACAAACAGTAAGGAAATCAAGAATCGTGCAAAGGCGGCATCGTAATCTAGCATAAGTCAAACCACTGACCACAGTAAACCAGGGCTAGAATGTTGCAATAATAAGAGAACGTATATGTTGAGTATATGCAACTTTCCATAAATTTTTTTGAAATGCAGACTATCAACATTACACACAAATGCGACAATCATGAAGACATCTATCTATAGGGTTGGTTGATAGTGCAAAGGTATGCAAGCAAGAGGGATGCTGAAAGAACATTATGAAATAGATAATGGTAACTCATTACGACAACATGACAAATTGTTACGATTATGTACGGAAGCGCACTCCCGATTTCACTTTTGAGAATGCGAGTGATGCTAGTACATGCTGCGCATCCTATTCTCACAGCGTACATTTTTTCACTTGTAAATCATCTCGATTATCAAATAGCCGTCTTGCTTGCATTCCTACCCAATACCGACTGAGTACAAATCCTGTATTGCAAAGTCGGTTGTTGAAGACAAAGACTAATGGTTATTATTGGTACAAAAAATCACATTTACGATAGAGATACGATGTCCCGAAAGCCCATGCTCTTATCAGTAGTCAATTAACTAGGCAAGCCATTCACAATGGCTAACGCAGTCGTAGCTTTTACTGGTTTGCAAGATGATGTCAAATCACAACGAAACACGACGCCTAAAAGAATGAATAGAAAAGAACTTCACAAAAAATAAAACTAATCTAAGTGAAGTGTGTTACAAAAAGAACCAAGATGAGAAAAAGCAAAATTCTAATCATAACAGACCTGCGCTCCAGTCGTTCAATCACTGCATCGGCTGATTCTTCGGACTGACTTTCAAGAACGCATCGAAGAACCTCGTTTTCCAAAGCTAAGTCCTCTATCCTCTGCAAAAAGGACTAGAAAACTGGAGAAAAGGTATGAATAGTAGTAGATTACCTTAGAAAAAGCTTCGTTTATCCGCTGTTCATGTCGAAAAACTTCGTTGACGTCTCTAGCCATAAGAGCGACACTTTTATGAAACCGATTTTTCAAGCCTTCCTGAAATCAAAGCATGAAGAATGACAACCAGTGATCGATATAAAGTGTTTAGTTGTCACCGAAAATGCTACTGCATATCAGTGATGGTCCCATTTTCTGGGGAAGGAGGAAGGGGGGGGGGGGGGAAGACGGTAATATCTTTAGATACGAAATAAATTCCCCCTCACGAATACACGGAGTCGATTAGCAATGTGAATCAGTACTTCGTTGCATAAACAAATATAAGAATCTGACCAGATATAACAGAAATTCATTATAAAGTGAATGTTACGTACCACATCATCATCGTTTTGACTGCCAGGCAGAAGGGTGTTTTCATGTTGTCCAAAATGAGACTCAAGCTCTTTTCGGTGTGCTTCCATGACGAGATGTAACGTCCATTGTGAATCTTCATAAAGCTGACGAAGCTGTCGGTTCTCATTGTCTAGGTCGCGAAGCTGAACAAGAAAATTTATGAGATAGATACTTTTGAAAATACAAAGAGTTAAGAGGTTCAAACCTGCCGATTCCTGTTCTCCTTGTGTTCTGTCTCGGTGTCCTGCCCCGGGACATGGCGCTGAAGAAATAGAACATTGAGCTCAAATGTAATTGTCTAAAGATGGCATATACCGAAGGAGTGTCGCCGCCCCTTCGTTGTATGATATCGGCAACACGATGAGCATAAGTCAGTGATAAGTTAACCTAAACAAGTATTTCATTAAGCAGACCAATGAGAAGTTATTTATTCAGTACCTGATCGCTTTCCCTTAGCTCAACAACTATTCTTTGCAAATCTTTGATAAGAGTAGGGACATTAACGGGAGAAATAGTCATGACTTAATAGAAATCTTCAACTTGAGACATGGTAGCGACCTAATCAGTGATTATTTCGAGCGGAAGGTGAAACAATTCTGGTGATACCCAACAGAGCAAGAGAAAAGATGATGCAGTGATGGGAGCTTACAGTAAGGCAATATCAACACCAACATTCCATGTTCGTCATACAGGAAAGACTGAAACGCTACAAAGTACGAACCTCATATAAATTTTTAGCTGTAATTTACAATGTTACGTTACTGCGGACAATTATTCTTTACGGCTAAAAAGGCCGGGAGCCGAGATGATTTTGAAGACGTTCTTTGTGTACACCACATATGCATGGTACCAGTCTTGATAATGTAATCTTTATAAGAAGCTTCGCTTCTTCTAGTCCGACTTCAAAAAAAAACAATCTTTCATCGATTCGCAACGTTTGCCTTGCCGCTTCTTTTTCTGACGCTCGTTAATTTATTATTTTGATTTTCACATAATTCTTGTACAAACCGAGATATATTTAGTCACTCAAAATATATGCCCTATCCAAATGACTGCCAACAAACCGCTTTCGTCGAGGCATCGGTAAGTCGGAATTGTTTCATTTTGTGATTGCACTGTCCATTTCAATTACAGCGTGGATATGGCCACTTTATTCGATGTTTTTTGTGAAGTTGGTGTTAATGAACAGGATGGTCTTGCTGTTATATTGACCAAGTATCCAGAAGATTACAATGATGAGACAGCCCTGAAAAGCGTACGGCAGTTTAGCTTTCCATGTGGCCTCAAAGAGTGAGTCATTACTTTTTGAATTCAGGCTTTCTTTTATGAGTGCCTTTTTCCAGGGTTGATTCTGAAGCTGTACAACTTTTTTCCTTCGTTCTAACAGACTCACAATCCCGGTATACCTTCGGTTTCTGCCGCTTTACGCCAAGAAATAATACTTGTATCTGCATATTAAGGTAACACTCTTACTCTTCACCCGTCATATATTATCACTATTTTTCCAGCGGGTTCTCATGGCCAGGTGTTTTCTATAAGATTCTCAATCATGTTTCGTTGATTATGAATAAAGGGACGGTAAGTGGTTTTTTCCCATTGTTTTGCCGTCTGTTACAGAAATATGTTCATATCGCTGCTGAGGTTCACCATTCACCCTTTTTTAAACTATCGTACGATAGCAGTCTGCTTGCAGTAATCATTCCTATTTGTTAAAGGCAGCGGCTCTGCAGAATGACGAGTTTCGGATATTCATCGTTCTCGGTTCCCCTGGATGAGCTGCTTTTGAAGCTGCAAAGCACAGTCCAAGACTGTGCTTTGCAGCTTCAAAAGATATCAATAACCCGCTTTTTCAGAAGTGAAAAGTGCTATTTGGGCGGACGGCGTTTGCCTGCCCTCTAGAGCGCGATTGGCTCGTAGGTACGGTAGGTACGGTGTCTCCACTCACGAGACAATCGCGCTCTATAAAGCAGGCATGCGGTCCGCCCAAATAGCTTTTCACGTCTGGAAAAGCAGGTTATTGATATCTTTTGAAGCTGCAAAGCACAGTCTTGGGCTTAGCGTCCACGGAAACCGAGAACAATGAATATCCCAAAGTTGTCATTCTGTCGAGTTGCTGCCTTTAAGCACTAGTTTGATTTCCAGCAAGATGATCTGGATGCTATTCTTACCAGAATTTACCATACAGACATTCCTAATACTGGAGATGTGTTGCAGTTTTCTTGCCACAATGGCATGCATGTGAGTTCTTAATGCTATTCGACACCTTCATTTCTACGTAATCCTTTTGTATCCAGTTTGACTTCATTTATGTATCCTCAACACCATCTTGCAGAAACTTGAAGTAAAGGTGCCTGATGTCACTAAGTTGCCTACACTGTCTGAAGATAAATTCATGTTAGAGTTTTACAATGCTGTATCTCCACGGCAAATGCTGGCGATTTACGCTAGGTTTGTGCATACTTCAACACTTTTTTGAACACGAGGTTGGTTACAGTTTGCTGAAAGAGCGACGGATCATCTTCACAGGAAGAAAATTGAGTCAACTGAGTTCATGCATTCATGCCGCATCGACTTTGCTGTATCCAATGTTTTGGTAAAGTTGACTCAGTTCAGATCTAAGTATCCGCTTGTAAACTTCTCTTTTTCAGGCAATCTGTCTTCATACCCGTTCTGCCTGAAAGTTTGCTGGACATGGTTATGGCTCCAATGCCATTTCTGATCGGCGTTCCAAAACAGATCATGAAGGCGAATGTAAGTTCAGTCTTGGGCCTTATGAATGCTAGCTCCTCTTGCGGTTTTCACCTATTTGAAGAAATAGACAGAACTATTGCATTCAGACACAAAAAGAGCTGGGAGAGGTGGTCGTTGTTGATCTTGAGGACAGAACGCTCCAAAGTGCCCACAATGACGTAGCAGAAATCCCTAATGAGGTGTGTTATTGCACGCCACCTTTCATCTCAAGGTTCGACAAGTATTGGATTTCTACTAATGCGTTCTTTCTCAGGTGATTATGTATCTTAAAAACCAACTGAAGCATTCGTCCGATATGGGCGATTCAATGTCTAGAACATTTTTGCGAGCAAACGTGCTTCTTTTTGGTGGATATCGTATGGGATTTGTCAGGAGCGAATCAACTGGGGTGAATACGGTTTGCTCACTACTGTGATTTGCTATAATGCCTGCAAATATTACAGGTTGTTCACTGGGACAAGGAGAAATTTGTTCGGGAACAAAAACCGTCTTTTCAGCCTTTCCTTTCGTCTCTTATCGGTGCTGATGGAGTCCAGTATCTCGAACGGGTAATTTCAAACAAAAGGTAACTATCAAAGGGTGATTTGTTCGTGTTTCAGTTTATTGAAGAGCGTTGTCGTTCTTTGAATAGCGGTTTGCCGATATCGGATGAGTTTGAAAGAGAGATTGCCAACGCAGACAAGTTAAAAGTGCAGGTGATTTTTGAGCGCAAATGTCTCGGTGCTTACAGTACTTTCCTGTTTAGGCTGTAAATCCAGAAGCTATACAGCAGGCAATGCAAAGTGTAAGTTTTTTGCATTTGACAATAACAAATTGACTTTTGAAACCCTTGCATCTGAATCAAGACTAAGCGATGCACCAGTCTCTTCAACTCAGCTGGGATGGTTATCGTTCACGTTTCGTTTGTAGTATAATTGTGCAGCAATTTTGAGCACACCATCACCATTTAGACAAAGTTCCACAGCATAGTTGTAAATTCATACTCAATAAAATAATTCCACATTAATGAAATCCAAAAGTAGAACTACAGTTTTGATGGCGAGGAAAGTGCATGAAGAGCACCTCTTCTTTTGCTTGAAAAGCTTTCGTGAGTTAGATATTTTGCCTTTTGAGTCATGACTATGACACGCACTTTATAGCTCACGAATTCCTTACCTGTATCTTGAACTGTAGTGGTCATAGGTGAGTCTTTTTTCACTTGATAGTTACAGGTCAAGGAAAACGCCACTGATGTGTTCGGGGCCTTGAAGGACAAAATGACAGGCATACAGGTAGCGTGATTGGCACATTCTTATCTTGGAACTGCTCGTTCTTCTAGTTTTGCTCACATTGCTATTCTTAGCAGGTCATCAGCAAAACGTGGACTGTCTTGGTCCGCAAGTATAATCCTTCGCAGTATTTGAATTTCAGATTGGCGCTAAGTTGAACAAACTTACACCTAAAGAGATTCGCAAAACAAGAAATTGGACTTTGAAGAAATCGACGAAGAAATCAGGATTTGAGCCTATGTCATTTGAGAACATGCAGTGGGGCGAATCAACTTCAAGGGATGATCTGCCAAATCCAAGTCTAGGCGAAACGAGTGGTTACGAGGTTGGTGGTATGCAGTATATAGCAGATCTTGCTGATTTTAGCTAGAATTCGTTTCATTTTCTTTCACATCTTTGAAGCTCTCACCTGCACAAATTTTGTTACGACATTTTGGAAATTTGATTTGATTCTTTGTTGCTTGTTGCATGTATTCTAGCCTATCATGTTATGCTCAACATAAGACAGCACGATTATTTAACTAATCCGCATCAGCAGATGAAGCTGCGTTTAATGCAGTTCATTTTTATCTATGTAGATATTTTGCCTTTTTCTTCGCTATATTGGACTCAGAGTGTCATGCAGACTCTAAGTCCGAATTTTCATGGCAGAATTGATAGCGCACCCCTCAAGTTTCAGTAATTGAGAAATATTCTCCGAATACTGCGCATGGCTAGGATGCTGTCATCAAGCAGAAGAGTCGTTACCCACTCAGCTTTAAAGAGCCACTAGGCTTCACATCGTTGCCATATCACTTATCCTTTCAATAACCACAAATATGCATCTTGTTGGTTAACTTACTGAGCAAAGTTGTCATGCTTCGCTAACAAGATTTAAGTTCTGTAGTGCTTACTAATTGTTTTCACAAGAATCACGAAAGTGCTATAGATTTCAAGGCGGACAGTGACTCTTCTCGTGAGCCTTCCCCTTCGCACGAGCACTCATGCCGAGATGTGCCTGTTGCCAACCTGATTGACTTGGATACTCCCATTGAGAATCCGTCACCGTTTGCTACTGTAAGTTACAGAGTTAAACGTTAACTTAAATTGGCGCTATTCCAAAGCTTTCTTCCTCGAAGTTGAGAACCTCAAAACTTGAGTGGAAAGAGGAGATTGCCTGGCATGATCGGAAACCGTGAACTTCATGATTAAGCCTTTATCAGTGGCAAGAATAAAGCACTCAGGGCAAAAGGGTCGGAAGAAGGCTCGTGGTTTGCACCGCAAAATTGAATTAAGCACCCACCTTTGGAAGTGCATAAAAAGAAGAATCGAAAAAGTTTTTCGACATTGTATCCGAGGGACGTTGCTGTGACATATCTCGATCCTTGGTAATAACGGTATGTGGAATGAGATGGGAAGGTTAGAAATCATTGAATGTGGTAAGCACGGTAGCCTTGCGACCACAAAGCAGATGCATTTGGCGCATAGAGGACTGTGTAAATGCCGAGTCTTCATCGTTTTATTTTTCAATTGGAAACCGTCAAAGAAATTGGCAGCAGCGTTTTTCAAGCAGATGAGCATCACATTTCTATGTCTACGTCTAGAATACCAATCTTGACCTCTGATTCCGATCCTTGTGTTTATCATCTCGAGTGACTCTCTTGCTGCATCTAATTTTTTTTCCATGAGGGGCAGGTTTGGAATAGCACCATAAGTCATAGTTACTGGTCATATCTCGCATTTTCAGTACCTTAACGATGGTCCTATCGCTGCTTCATCCACAGATTTCCCAGCGGCAACTCCGTCCACGGGTTTCTCTGTGGCGCACAGTTCTAATCAGACCAATGCTTTTCCCTATATCTCGCCGCTTCCGCTGAGGTTGGTGATAAATTTGCTCCTTCGCTGATGCAATCATTTTAGGACAACTACCACCGCAGAAGACTTGGTGAATCCCTTTTTTGATCCTTTCAAGACACCGACTGGTTCTGTCGGAGAAGGCAGCACCAACACAAAACCGAAGAGGAACTGGGAGACATTTGATTAGGATCTTACAACTAGGTGTTCAAATATGTGCTCGGGTGTGAATCATAACACTTTCTCAGATTATTTGAATCTTCAAATACACATATTATTTGCCATCTTTCGGAACAACGAAAGTATCTATATGCGCAAGTCTAATTATTGTGATTGCAGTGCTGTTTGTATCTCTTCCAACTTCCTCTGTTCCTCTATTCTAAGTCAGTTGCTCCTTATCACTGATGAGGCTTAAGGCAATAAGTGTAGCGCTATGACATTCATCCTGAAGATAAGATCTATACGCTTGGATGGACCTTCACGAATGCACTATCTCCTTAAAGGCAGCGTCCAGGCAAATCTGGACTTTGAGGCTCTCACGTGGATAGTAATCTTGGGGCCCTAACTAAGCCACTGCCTAACCGGCAGCACAGGTAGGGCTAACGGCTGAGAAATTCGCCTCGATGGACCCCGGGATTGTATTTCGCATGGATTCATGGCGCAAACCATCAATTTCGCGCGAGACCCATGGATTGCGCCATAAATCCATGCGAAATACGATCCCGGGATCCAGTTTCGAGACAAATATCTCAGCCGTTAGAGCACTACCTGAGTTGCCGCTTGGGCGTGTCCTAGTTAGGGCCCCAAGATTACTATACAGGTGAAAGCCCCATACGTCCAGATTTGCCTGGACGCTGCCTTTCACATGGTGAAAGGCGTTGCGAGAAACGAACCAACTTGGAGATTGTATTCGACTGATACGCCATCGTACAGTCGAGTAGATTTCCTGCTTAATATAGTGTCCCTGCAGACGCGACAACGCTGAGGCGTCAATAATTGCCTGACGAGTCTCCGAGCCAGAGCTTTCCAGTGTTTTCCTTGCTTATTCTATGCTTTTTAGGTGATTCGTCGCTAATAAAGAAGAAAAGGGTAAGTTAGAGAGTAGTTTCTGTTTTCTGAGAAGTTGTATCATCGCATATTCACAGACATCGACATGGAAGCAGTTCGCGTCAGCTTCTTGTCTATTTTTTTGTCACTTCATGATTCTTTCTTCTTGTGAGGACTTCTTTGAATGCTGTGGGTTCTTACGATTGACTATTTGTCTTTATCACATGAAGCACTTGATTAGAATGCTATTTCTTGTGGATGAAAGCCGAAGTTGCTGCAAGACAAGCCAACTAGCGTTCAAAGAAACGCCTCACAAGAAGGAGGAGGTAAAGAAGAAGTGACAGGAGAAAAGGAAATGACAAAAAAAATAGACAAGAAGCTGATGCGAAATGCTTCCACGTGGATATCTGCGAATATGCGATGATAGAACTTCTCAGAAAACAGAAACTACTCTTCACTTACCCTTTTCCTCTTTATCAGCAACGAATCTACTAAAAAGCATGAAATAAGCAAGGAAAACACTGGAAAACACTAGCTCGGGAACTCGCAAGGCATTTATTGACGCCCCAGCGTTGTCGCGTCTGCAGGGACACTATATTAAGCAGGAAATCTACTCGACTGTAACTAAGTCTTACTTCGCACTCACCGAATCAACTAAATCTCGAAGTTCTTGAAGCAAAGAAAGCTTCATGTTTTGTCGTGAATTATGGGTGATTTTGGAGTCGCACTCTCTTTCTTCATTGCCATCCTCCATGCGCATGGTCTAGTGAAAGTGTGAACAAAAGATTATCTTTCTTAACAAGCCTATACCTTCCTATGCAAAAGTAAGGTTACGAGACACATAGAGATTCTAGCTCCTCACCATGCCCTATCGCATCTCCTTCCTACTTTAACGACTGAAATATCAGAACGACTTATTATCATTTTTTGTATGAATGTGGGTTGCTGTGAAGCATTTCTCCGAATCACTTTAAGTATGTTATCGAGTGATACTGTAATTTTCTAGTCCTTAAATAAATCGCATTTTATTGGGCGGACTTGCATATATAAGATGCTATTTTTGCCTAATTCGACTATCGACACGACCAAGACTTATTAATGTTAAACCTGTGATTGCAGCGAAGGCTATGTGTTCTAGTGAAAGTCAATATGCTTTTTGGTCGTTAAAAAGAGTAGGAGTAGACCACAGATTCAACATAACTGTTAGATTTGTGTAGTGTAATATATAGAGTTTCATCCAGTAAATGAATTAGGGGAAGTGACCATACCGCATTTGGATATCTCAGAGATAATCACTTCCTCACAGATCGATGCTGTTCAATTGCTTTCACAACGCTTACGCTCTTTGTTATATCGAACACTCACTTATCTCTTCTGGGATCAAGATTTACGAGGTATACTTTGATTCAACGAATTGGCTGGAAGGCGGGGCTTCGAGGCCTAACAGATCAAGGCTAGAGAATGATTAGAGAGCACGCTCCCGAAAGAGACGCAGACTGCTTCGCGGGCGCGAGCGGTCGCCTTTAAAGGCACCATCCATCCAAAATTTCGACCTCCATGTTTTTGCCGTTCGGGGCCTTCTCATACCCCTGATTCCGAATATCAAGTCGGAAATCCGCGAAAACCGCGAAAAAACCCGTTTTTAGATGTTTGTGGAATACGCAGAGCGATTTCTTCGGATGGGCGTGACGTTCGTCCCGCCCACTTAAAGGGGAGGAGCCAACGTGGCGAATCCGTCATCCGAGCGATTTTCGAAGTCATTTTTTCGCTTCGGAAGCAACTTTTGCAGGCGCGAGTTCGATAAGTATACAGTTGAGGGCCCCACTACTGTTAGGCATCATAATCTCATCGACCCCAATTTGAGTGGATGGTGCCTTTAAGCCGGCCGCCAATCCCGTTGAATTAAAGGTTAGGTCAAGTACTCTCTGCAAATCAGAGGATTAAAGGCAGTGTCCGGGCAAAAACTCGATTTTGAGATTTTGTGTTTATACGGGCCTATTCGCTACGCTGAATCCGAAAATACACATTGGAAAGCGCGAAAAAGGCGAAAAACGGCTCCGACTCAGGAGGGAATTCAGTAGGTGGGCGGGGTCCTCCCCACTGTGAATTCACGCTCCCAGCTTCCGGAGCGATCTTCTTGCTTCCGGTTTCAAGTCGATCATTCGTACCTAGCCGGTAGCGGTGTGAGGACGGCTCGGAATCAAGAAGACCTCTCCGGAAACTATGAACGTGAATTCACGGTGGGGAGGACCCCGCCCACTTACTGTTTCCCTCCTATGATAGAGCCCTTTTTTGCCGTTTTCGCGCTTTCCAGTGTGGATTTTCGGATTCAGCATGGCGAATACTTCCATATTGGGGCAAAATCTCAAAACCGAGTTTTTGCCCGGACACTGCCTTTAAAGGCAGTGTCCGGGCAAAAACTCGATTTTGAGATTTTGTGCTTATATGGCCTATTCGCCATGCTGAATCCGAAAATGCACATTGGAAAGCGCGAAACGGCGAAAAAGGGCTCTAACACAGGAGGGAAATCAGCAGGTGGGCGGGGCTTTCCCCAGTGTAATGTCACGCTCCCAGCTCCCGGAGCGATTTTCTCGATTCCGCTAGCCGTCCCAACATCGCTACCGGTCAAGTGCAAATGATTGACTTGAAACTGGAAGCGAGAAGAACGCTCCGGAAGCCGGGAACGTGAATTCGCAGTGGGGAGGACCCCGCCCACCTGCTCATTTCCCTCTTGTGTTAGAGCCGTTTTCCGCCATTTTCCCGCTCTACAATGTGGATTTTCGGATTCAGCATAGCGAATAGGCCCAAGTAAGCACAAAATCTTAAAATCGAGTTTTTGCTCGGATACTGCCTTCAAGTCGCGAAAGACCGGTCTTCAGACTTTGGAACAAGCATGCATCTCAAAAAGTCATAGCCTTGCAAGTCGTCGCGGAGATGAAACCCACAAGCGGGATATAAAAGTTTTCTACCTAGCACAGCGGCCAACTAGAATATTCGCCCTACTGGATGATCGTCCATGGGTTCGTAATAAGTTCGCCAGAAGAGGGGCTGCTTCATCACTAATGCGCTTTAGTTGGGTGCACTGACGCTTTTAAGAACGATAACTACGCATTCAACGATACCCTCCACGCGGAGGGCGGAGAGGGGTTGCTTGGTCACAACTGTGTTATTTTTGTGCTAGAGGGTATCATCCCAGCCCCACTCACTTGCGAATCTTTTTTCGAACTGATTGTTCTAAGAATTTGTAAGGTCCGTCCTAGGCTCGGTCTTCAAGCAGCTAGAAGCAGCGGAGACAGCAGCGATTCGCCAATACCCGCTATACCTCCATCGTCAGGTATGTATGAAGCTTAAGAGCAAGAAAAACGCCCTTCCAAATGCCTTTCGCGGCCACAAACTTGTATAGCAACATAAAGGTGGAAGGCTACAGATTGCTGCGATCACAACAGATACAAAATGCTAAAGACTGTAATTTAAACGACAGCGTCAAGCACAATTGTCGAGTGCCCACTTCAGGCTGCAGAAATTTGACGGGTGAATGATAAGGTTTCCGTAATGGTACCAACTTTGCAAATTTACGCGCTAGCTGTTGCTTTCACTCAACATGGAAATGCATTACTTTTTCTTTTTCAGTAGGGTCCTTTTCATGCTTTTCGTTTGTGTTCTTCGTACGACTTCAGAGCAATGTTTGGGAAGACGTAGTACCTCTATCACAAACAATCGAAGGCCGTTAACTGTGTCCGTTTCTGCATGGTAAATCTACACATTGTACGCTTCTCAGATTTTGCATCGCGCAGTCAAGCATAGTCAACTTTTTAATCTGTGATTTCAAAGCTCCTAGCGCATTATCAGTTCACCACTTCCAAAGTATCTTGGAACCCTCCTCTCGTTCCCATTTTTCACTTTTTTGCGGAGTTTCTAGTATATAAGTCAGTAATGTAGAGCTCAAGCAGTGATGGATTCACAGATGCGGTGTTGTAGTGTTGATGTTTCCAGTTTCTGAGTCATCTAGCCGTCAGCGTTTCCGCTGCCTAAATTCTCCACATTTGACCACGCGCCTTGAATTTTCAAGGTCGTATTTTTCGCTTAACTGGTGGTCAGGCATTTTAGCAACGAAAATAATACTTCCTGCACAATGCTTCATTATGTGAGGCTACGGTGGGTGTACGGGAGTGTGCTTGAGCTTGAGCGACAGCTAATTCATTTCTACAAAGAGCGATGACTGTATTTACCGGCGTTTAAGGTTAAGGTTGGGCAGTATTCAGCAAGTTTTGATGGCCGTTCCTAGTGGCGTGTGGGTAGCCGAGCTTACAAAATGTCTGACTCATGTGAAAGATAATGAGCAGGTTTATCCACGAAGGCTTCAATAGGTCCTCCATAAATGCGGCCACATATTTTTAACTTTAAGGCGCGAAACACTTTCCTGTACCTTGTATTTGAGTTACGATATGGATGCATGAGGCTCGGTAAAGCAAATGACGATTTAGATTGGCCATTTAGATTGTCGGGTACGGAGTACTTCATGGCTTTTTTAGACATTTCATAATGAAGTGCTCATCGACAGCTCCGTCAAAAGCACAATAATTCGGGAAAACCCGCGAATGAGGATGACGGCCTATAGTCCCTTGCGACAAACACTCGCGCTTGGTGCTGTTCAGAGCGCGGCGCGATGGACCTGTGTTTGCAAACTCAAGCATCTCACCTTCTTTGTACACTTACTCTGTTTCAAATTATATCTTATGATCTACCATGGCACGTCCTTGTTTCTTTTTCCTGGATAGTGTGTGAAGCTTTGTATGTGATTTTGAAACAGCTTGTACATACAATATGGGAGATGACGTCAACAGCGAAAGCACAAGTACCATTGACGACGATTGGTAAAACAGTGAATGTTTCAGTAGTTTCTATACATGTTGCTTTATTTTTTTGCATCATTCAGGGTAAAAGAGAGTGATATTTCTATTTCGTCTATCCCTACCGAAAACAATAAAGGGATGGTGTCTAATTCTAGTGTTACGTCACTTGTTAGTGATACAGATAACAAAAGGATGCTCTGGGTGGTAAGTCTGAATTATTTCAAATTTTCATATTTTTTGTAACACCAATGGTTGCAGCGCCTTCTTGGTGTACAAAATCGTCCTAACCCACTTGATGATTGGGATCAGCTGTACAATCTGAATAATCAGGCAGGCCTTAGAAATGGTATGGTTGTTACGGACTATTTTCGTTATCCACACAGTAGACTATCCTAATTTTTCTTGTTTTGTCCCACAGTATTTAGTCTTTTGTAAGTTTTATGCCACTTCGTCTTCTCACATCTTGTTCCCTTCTGCAGCATTTGCAATATCTTAGAGATCTGACAGTGCTTTAGATTGCCGAAAACTAGCTAAGTTATTGGATAACAAAAAATCTGTTCCTGAATTGGAATCCTTTATGACACTTTACTGTAAGAAGAGGAATGTGGATTACAAAAAGGACAGCGGATGGATTGTTGTGAGTGTATTAAAGTTCAAGTTTTATAGCCATTGCACATCACATTACATGTTCTTGTCTCACTTTGTTTATTTAGGTGTTAGAGAAGATTCTGAAATTCGATTTGCCTCAGGAGCATGTATTCAATGTGTTCTTTGCATTTACCACCAAATACATTCCAAAGTCAGTGTTTCTCCACTTTATAAGTCTGTAGTAACGTCAGGTTTCTTGCAGGGAGACAAAAGAGAGTGCCCAAATCTATGATTTATTCCGTCTCTTGCTGCAATATCATGATCCCCAAATAAGGTGATTCTCATTGACGTTACTGTTCGACATCTTGGTAGGTACGGGATTTATTCAGTTCTCACTTGGATTCACTCAAACTCCCTCCGCATACTTATGCAAATCATTGGTTTTCTACTGTTCTTGCTGCATGTGTAGATGACGAAGTTTGTAAGACATTGTGGGAGTTGTATATTGAAAAGGTACTGTTGACTTGGGTGTTGTGTTCTGATATGCTTTAGTTTGTTACAGGGTGACCCATTTCTTATTTTTTACATGGCTCTTGTCCTTATAATTAATGCTAGAGATCAACTTCTTCTGTTTGGCTCAAACAAGAGGTAGGGTTTCCTGTTGTTTCGCATTCATTCCATCTTTCAATCCTTGATTCGAAGCTTTTTCTTTGTTTTCGCTAGTTGCTGATTTTCCCACTTAGCAATGTTGACCGAAGGCAATCGAAAATGCCAGAAAGACAGTTTTTTTTTTCGTAAAAATCGAACGCGAGCAGAGCGGTTGCCGTTTGTGGTTCTTAAAGCAATCAGCAGATTTAGACTGGGTTCGTAATATTGACGCAACCTCAGACTGTTGCGTGTTCGTGTACGCTTGTCTATATTCAAGTTCTGTTAAATGTAATTCAGTCTTGCATAAATTTCTACCATGCGGCCGTGAAAAATAATATCAACACAACTTTGAAATAATATCAACGCATTATTCTGATTCAGTTGTACACTGTGCTCCGAGTGGAAACAAACTGAATCATGCGTGCATGAAGAGGTGCTGTTTTGCTGGTGGCATTCCATTTTGGTTTGCTAAAGTTTCTAAATCGGGTCGCAGTTGAATTCGAGATGAAAAGCATATGTACGTATCTCTTCAGTAGGATGGAGAATACTGCATTTGCTTTACAAAAGGCGCGTGCTTATAGTTTTTAAGGTTCCTTAGAAGTCTTGTTTTGTCCTATAATTACTGTCATCCGCATGCTGTTGGTCTTTCTCAATTTCAGTATGAAGGTGATTGTCCATGACGAAATAAACACATCTGAAATCTTCATATTGAAAAGGCTTAGGATCCCTTTTCTTGTGAAATTATAAAGTTTTTAACATGATAAGGGACTTTTCGATAGTGAAGTCCAGAGAGATAGAATCGTCTGCATGAAGCTTAGCGTAAACGGAAACTTAGCTGAAGATTTTTCACAAGAAGTCCCAAAAAAGTTTTAGCCTGCGCAGCAAGCAGTTTGATCAAATTCGGGGCACAGTGTAAATTCCCAGGGTACTGTGCTGAGAGGTGAGTTGCAGAGACGATGCTCTGTCACTGTTGATGACTTTGCCAGAACAATTGACAGCCAGCGATGTGCCAGATTTTGTACAGTTGTCTGCCTACTACGCAGACCGCACTCCTCAGTGTGTTCGTGAGGCTAGTGACATTTTCGATTGATACGTCGTCTCATGTAACACGGGATATGTATACTGCAAATTATTTCAGGATTTTCATTACCTCATATTTGGTTCTAATTATGACGACGAGGCTGGCGATTTGCAAGTCAGCAAATTGCTTTGCTTACCTGTCACTGTTCAAGAATTGATCAAAAAGGACCGTGCTGCTGTCACCGTAAGTAATTTTTATTTGTTCCATAGCCGTCATGAGGTTTTTGCAAAGTACTGTATGACCATATCCGTTTTTTCTTCAAGAAAGAAATAGAAGAAAGTAAAGTAGAGATTACGCGTATGACAGTTTATGCTACTTGCAGGCTTCAAAAATCGCCTATTTCGTGATTGACTGCAGATCTAATGAAGCATACAACTGCGGCCATATATACGGATCATTCAGTCTCGATTGTCAACTGGTTTGTTCCACGGTTTTATCTTGAAGAATATGTAGAAGTAACAAGAAACGTTGACTTTCTTGTTCTATATTTTGGAACTTTTGTAACTTGAAGGTGCCTGTTCTAAACGCATACAACCTTGTCTATCTATCTTTTACTAGTCAATGCCTGATTAGACCGCTTCAGCTTGTTGACGCTCCCAGTCAATTCGAAATTGCTTTGAATTCATTGGAATCCTACAAGAACGCGCAGAAGTTTGATGAGCATATCTGCTTTTTTGGATACGGCGATGAGGACCACGTACGACTTTCCTACAACTCATTTTGAAAGCTTACTTCAGTGTTTTTTAGGATCAATACATGAACATGGTTATCGCGCGTTTTCTGCGGGACGGTAAGAGTCATGTGACATTTGCTCAAGGAGGCTATCGTGGTATGTTTTAAAGGGGATTTTAGCGTTGCTTATGTCTCGCTTTCACGTCTTCTTTTTTTATTTTCTTCTTTTTTTGTTACAGATGAAGTGCATTTGTTGATGGTTGAGGGTGTTTAAGGTCTCCATAGTGCCCTGTGTGATACAAATCGACTACGTTTCATCAACTCCCACGACGAATCGAAATGCAGCGAATGTACGAACGGCAGTGGAGGGAGAAGCTGGGTAAATTTCACTCTATGTCCACTTGCATCTTTACCACCCATTCATCGTTTTGAATAGTAAATTTCCAGAAATTGGTTGGAAAAATGAAAGAAGTAGTCATCTCTAAGTCTACAGCTGTCAAAGATAAGGTTAGCGAACTCGTGACCCAGGCAGCACCATCGCAGACAGCTGGTAGTGAGGTGAAACACGTCTTATCTTCTGACCGTTATGGAAAGAGGTACTATCATTGCACGCTATTATCCGTTCGCTTAACTGCTGTCCTTTATCAAGATATCGTAATGAGCCGTCAGTCTTCTCGATCGATGATGATTCAAGCGACGAGAGTGCTGGGACGTTGTTCAACAAGGCGAGCAAAAGGGAAGAGGTGCGTTGTCTCTCTCTGATTAGTAATTTGGGCAACACGGATCACGGACGCATTGCATTTAGGGCCGGAGAAAATTCGTCTTCTTGCCTTTTCAAAAGCGAAGTCGCGTTTGACTTGTGGAAGCTTTACGAAGTTATATTGATAACATTACTTTTATTTCTCTCCCACTCTCAGTCTTGATATTCGGGTTTGGCTAGAAACTAGCGTAGACACCAAAACGACATAAATTCCTAGAGTGTTGCATTAGTTTGAAGCAGCGATAGGAAAGAGCACTTGAAAATTCTATGTGAGGGATAGCTTAAATGAATCAAAATAAACATGTGAACAAAGAGCTCCCCAATTGCTACTGTTTTACTGGAACGCGATATCTGTCAGACGTCGATTCAAAACTTAAACGAAGAGGAGAGAAGTTGACGAAGGGATGAGATGCTTTGGATCCATTTCTTCGAGTAGAGGAGGTAGATTGTTGACTCCGAGGTGCAGGATAAAACTTTGTCGAAATAATGTGAAATCGCAGAAGTATGCTCTCCATTACACTCAGTCGTCATTGGCGATGAAATTCGACTGATCTCGGCAAGAGTATTGCGCAGAATTCATCAAAGTTTTCCACAGTTATTGTTAGAGATAGTATGTGTACATACCGAATCGGTATCACGTGCATGGGCTTTGGGTTATGAACAAGCCATTTGTTTAATTTAGCCTTGGACAATTTCGTCTGCTCCGAAAGGAACATGTTGGAACATTAGTCGTGTAGTAACTTTTTTTCTAAAGCGTGCCAACAGAGTCCATGGGTTTATGACGTACCGAGTCCTGACTGCATTTTTATAAGCGCCTTCGACAGCAAAGAATCTATAGCGTCATGCATTATTTCAGATTGCATTGTATATGTGGGACTGAAATACTTTAACGTCGTTGTCATTGTTGGGACTTAGTCATGTGAAAGCATTTGCAATGACCATGCTATGGACTTAAAAGATACATAAAAATACAGCAAGTTAGTACCACATGTTACCCGTATTCAGCTCGTGCTTGCCGATCAAGCAGAGTTCATTGAACATTTCCAATGCCATGAACTTGGAGAAAATAAAGTCATGATACCTTCACACATTGCCATCACTCGAACTCACATGCATATATTGAGAGATGTCGATAAGAAGGTAAACTCTTTGAATGGCAGAATCTCTGTCTTGAGATCAAATTCCTTTCAGCCGGGCGTCGTTACAACCGAAGCTCGACACCCATTATCTTCGGTTTTGCGAGTCACGAGCAAGAAGAAAGTGCCCGAATTGTTGACATTCAAATTTGGTTATGAAGTCAACGGAGTGTCGAAGATCACTTCCGTGCATAGGTAGAGCTCTTCGTAGCTTCTTCTCTTCATGTTTAATCCATGTTCCCTTTTAGATTCCTTGTACCAAAAGCCGGAGAGTGCGCGAAAGCTGTAAAGACAGCTATTTTCGCTCTTCGTCCTCTGTCAGATTCTGAATCAACCGAAGTAGGCTTTGCTACAGGTTGAGGTGGTGGTTGAATATTATTATGTCTTGGACTTTTGTTGATGTATCTCATCAAGGTAATAATTTGTTCTGAAGTTTTTTTTCCAGTCATATGAACTTCGCAGACATTCTACGTGTTTTTGTCTATTATAAGATGCATTGTGCTTTATCCGAGTGTTTGCTCGATTTCTATCAATTTTTTGAAGCATGCAAACCTATGACCCTACATTCCAGTCATTATTTATGTGTTAGATGTCGAATTATTGTCTGTGTTTCTTGTTGCTTTGTGTTATCACATTTACTGGCTTCTGGAGCAGAGCTATATGAAGGAAGTCTCATGTAAAGCAAATACAGTTGCATTCGGAATATTACCGGGCAATAAAATGTTTCAGCATTTGTTTGCTTGGAGGGAAGAAAATCACTAATTATTTCAAAACGTTGACGACCGAGCCATTTTTTCACCACATCCAATTTGACTGAATATCTGAATCTGCGATTTAGACTTCTGAACATGACAGTCACGGCATCATTATTATTTCCGCGTAAAATTTACCTCAAATTTTTTTTACGCATCAAAAACTGCTGCACCAAAGTGCTAAGCGGAGTAAGGACATGCATACGCGCGTATGCACATGGTCGTTAGCGTGTTCATATGGATCTTACAAATAAGTGTGCATCTCAAATTATTTCATTTTTATTTTGTTTGTTTCGGTAGCACATCCATCATCGTTTTGATAATGTTGATCGTCAGAACTAAGACAGTTGTTTGTCGATCTCTGTGTTTATTTGTATAATAATACGTCAATTGATTAGCAGTAACTGTTGGTGCTAGCCGAAGCGGGGTATCTACGATCATCGCCCTGATTTATTTAGCGAAGGGAGATGCGGTTGTTTAATTCTCCACGTAACAGCTATCGTAAACATTAGATTCACGAAAACTATGCGAAATTATAGTACTCAAGACCATTGATCGCCGTTTAACGACTTTTCGAATGATGAGAGATAATCAGCAACGGCTACACCCCTCGTTCTTCCACACTGCGCTGTCAATTCATTCATTGTTTATGTGTTTACGTATCGCACCGCAAATCAATATAGTGGCTTCGATTCCAAATCGAAAGTGGTATTTATTCGCGAAGCGTTTTTCTAGTGTTTTTTCCACCTCTGCGATAATGAAACAGTTTTTTTATGTTTATATGTAGAAGATTTCCCCGTTTTTTTTCTTTTGTTCCTTTTTCTTTGTTTATTTGAGTCGCTGCAATCATTTATTGGATCAGAGACAATTGCTCGGTATTGAGTCATTCAGATCCAATTATGTGCGTTTTGCAGCTTGCAGATAGTGATTTATCAATGCACTTACAGATGACCGAAAAGTACTTTGATTTTTTTTATCAAAAAAAGTGTTTGTCTTCTTCCTGGGGTTTCTCATTGTTATGGATAGGGTCAAATACGTAGGAGGAGACTGTATTCAATTCAGTACAAGTTTAGTATAAAGCCTTTGGCTTGAATCAGGGTAATTTATGCGTTTCCTACGAACAGATTGGTGTGGGTGTAATCGGACACTGGTTTTGTCCTACAGATCCGCCACCTAAAGTAAATCACTATAGCACACTGACTGCTCGTTTGACCGCTTTCATGTAGAAGAAGAAAAATTATCCAATTTCCGTTTCGTTCCTATCATTATACGGATATTTTCCTTCTTGATGTTTGCTTTGGACAGATGCCTCGATTGTATCTCATATAAATCACTTGATTCTATAACTGTTTCTATGACTTCAAAAATTCTTAATTAAGTTTCAGTTTCCGAATCATTGGTAAGTCGAGAAATGTCTACAGAGATTGAATTTTGTCTTACTACAATATATCCAACGTTAACGAATTCCTTTTGATTTAGCTTGGAAGTGCCAGTCGGTTCGACAGTTCCGTCGTTTCATTTTGAAAAAAATCGTAATTCTGCACTATCTCAACGGATTTGCTTGCTTGTAATTCTGTTGAAAAGAACACCTTTCGCTTTCAAGCACTGTCTTGTCGAGCTTCTCTTGCACACTGAATGCAGAGATAAAAACAAAGAAAGGCAATATTAGCTTTGATCATAGCTTTGATCAAGTTAGGTCACCAAATGTAGAAAAGTCCGAAATCGTAAGTTTCATGACCTACTCTTTGCAAATGTGAAAAGTTTGTGCTGTTTTGACGCTTCTATGTGAAGTTTTGATTTTTGAGAAAAGTGACAAATTGCAATTTTAGCGTTCTCTGTAGTGAACTCGAAATTCATAACCTTTTACAGAAACCTCAAAACAGCGCATACATTCTAAAGTCAGAGAATAGTTCATAAAACTTATGTACTGACGATTTCAGATTTTTCTGCTATTCCAAATTTTTGGTGACCTAACTCAAAATGGTAAAAGGTTACGTGGTCTTCCTTTTTCAGTTTTACCTCTGCAGTCAATATGAAGCAGAAGCCCTGAAAAACAGCATTCGAAAGCGAAAGAATAGGTTTTTTTCTAATAAAATTATAAGCAAGTAAATTCGTTGAGATAGCGCAGAGTTACAATTTTTTGAAAATGAAACGACAAAACTTGCGCACCGACCTAAAATTGCGCAGAAAAAATGTGTATCCTACCATCTCGACAACTCTCCCAGGGTATTGCGAATTTCTCACTAGTTGAAGTAACTGAAATTTGAGAGATGATGTCTCATTGTCGAGTAGTCGAGAAATAAAATGCAAAAAATGTTAGTTGAAGATCTGATGACAAGTCCTTTGCTGCTAACTTCTTGGATCTAATCGCTTTTGAACTTCCTGTAAAGACTTTGTCAAAAGAGATTAGCGCCGAGCTTTCTTGTTTTTCAATCCTGAAAGCTCCTATATATTAAATTTTACAGACTCTGACAGCAGTCGGATGTGGTTCATCATAGAATTTTTTGGTGCATTCGAAAAATGCAAAATGATTGACTGGATAATTGAGCATAGTCGTAAATTTATCAAAATGTTTAAGAGCCCCCGGTTGCAATAGGGCTACCATTGTAGCCTGACAAATTTACGATTTAGTGCATTTGCAGTGCCGACAACACTTGCACGAAAAGTCGCTATCGGGCGCACAATAAGGCAAGGGACATACCTCACGCGATTTCAGTCGCCACGCGATCTGACAATTTGCCAGATGTCTTCAAATTCAATACTGGTAGACCCCAAATGCACAGCATGTATGACTTTCGTAGGTTGATAAAATGCCTCATCTTCCGTACATTCAGAAACCCCGCACGATGAGTTATGAACATTTGGAATACTGCCCCCAGACCATTTCTTACGCGCAAGTATTGTTGGCAGCGCAAGAACACCATATAACTTGTTCAATGCTTTATACTACCCGAAAATCAAAAAAGATTTGTGGAAATGGCTCGGCACTGACATTGACGCGGAAGCAAAGACTGCATTATTGCACGGGGCGTCAGGTGACATCGCGTCTCGGCCCGAACTGTTTCTCTAAGCCTATCCTCAATCATGCTTGAATTACTCCTCTATCCGTGCAAGTCGCCGCCTCTCCTGGCATCTTGCCACAATCGATTGGACCCAACAAGATGGATGCCATGTGGGCCTTAGTTATTGCAAAAACTGCTCTGTGCCTATAGAAATTCTGGTCTAGCTCCTGGCCTTGTTGAAGGATAGGCCTTCCAGTCCTCCCTTCCATATATGCCCAATTTGAACGATATCTAGTGAATAATTCATGTTCATAAGTGAATAAGCTTCGAACCAGACTGCTCTTGCGTCACTTCCTATTGCCTATCGGCCCTCTTTAACGACGCTATTGAGATAGGACTCTTCACATCTTGAACTTGAAGCATAAAAGTTCAAGCGTGTTACTCCCTAGCTATTTCTTACTGCTTTTCACAAAATCAAAAATATTTGTACTCTTGTCTCAGCAAGAAATTGGCCATTACTGGTTAAAAAATCTGCTGCTCGAGTTGAAATCACTGAGGCACTAAAAACTATTTTTTCATGTTTGGGTGTGCATCTGGAGCGATCCAATTTTCGTAAACTTATTTGGGGTTGAGGCCTAATTACATCACCCTCCCTCATGATCATTTTCCTACTAGAGCCCCTTACCAACTAAAGTTTTAAGCCAGCCTACAATTTTGAAAAAAAAATTTTTGAAGCAACTTCTGCAGGATGTTGTAGGCAAAAAAATTGTTTGTACATCAGGAAACAGCTGTCACACTACCCCTGTTCATGATCATTCACTATTAGCCTTACCAAGGGATCGTCTTTATAGCAATTAGATCTGCCATCTTATCTTCGCATACTAGTTTGTGACCCTAATTTAGTGAATGCGGCGCAAGTGACCTTTTAAACTTTTGATTTCTAGCTTTCTGGAACCGAACTTGCATTAGTTTCTATTGAACTGAACTGAAAGAAAATTATGCTCGCAGGGTGACTTTGAACAAAAGAATTGTTCTTGGTAAGTCCATGGCTAAGCTAGACAACGGCGCAGCAACAAAATCTCATAATAGTGCAGATTAAGAGGGAATAACATTACTTCGGAGATTTGGATCAGGCATTTCGAACAGCTAGTGTATATACGTTGCTTGTGACTATAAAACAGCTACTCAAGATTACGGTAATGCGCAAAACATATACATAATTCAAAGTTAACTGCCTTCGGACATGAATCTCTCACTTTGAAAAGGATGGCGAACAATACATCACCTTCAGATTGCTAGAACGCTCAGTGCTATTGAATGCAAGCTCTCATCTTTCTTTCTGCTCATTTCTTTACTAATCTACTTGCATCTTATAAAGCAGATAATAGAGCGTTACTAAGTACGTAAATCCATTTGAAAAAGAACAGAAAAAGCTTGTTATCACCTTGAAGCTCGCTAATTGCGATATAAGTGAAAATTCTCCCAGTAATTTCCTATAGAATCTGTTTTATTAGGTTGTCCCGGAAGTTCTGTTGTTTCACTTTTGAAAATCTGTAACTTTCAGCTATCTTGACGGAATTGCTTCTTTCTAATTTTACTGGAAAGAAGAAGTCTTTACCTTTGTATGCATGTCCTCAGCTTCTAATATACACTAGTGCATAGCTGAAAATAGAAAAAGAAGAATTTAGTAATTAAGCATTATAACTTAGGTCGCCAAAAATTAATATAATGTAATATCTACGTATGCCCAAGTGTTTCGCTGCAATTCTTGGTTACTAATTTGTCCTGTTGTCCGCTTCACACTGCTTTTCCGTTGTTCCTGGTTTACGAGACCCTGGTAATTGTTTACGTGGTTACGAACATTCGACTGGATGGGTATTGGAAATTCTTGCCTTCTCGACTAGGAACTGGAACTAGAAATATTATGATTTAGCAGCAGCTCATGGGAATGAGCAAAAACTTTCGCGCAAGATTCATGACTAGCAGGAAGGCAGCTAGGATTTTAGGCTGATCGAATTTTTGAAGCACATAAATTCACTCGTTCAATCCAGATATGTGAAAATAAAACAAGCTGTGAAACTGTGAAACTTCGCTTAATATTATGATAAACAAAAGCAATATGATTTGCAGGAAAAAAATTATGTGGTCAACATCAAATTCATATTCCTCCGCTTCGTCTTTTACATCGGCATTGCTTGGCTTTCCACCTACAAGTTGCTTGCGTGTTTGAATCAAGTTTATCAAGATTGCAGAGGAAAAAAATGGACATCGATTTCCGTTAACCACGTAAAGGGACAATTTGTACGTACTTGCTAGAGTCACAGTTTAATGCTTTTGTGTGACACGAGTTCAATTATCCATTAAGCAGCTGGTGGCCATTTTTTGTTTTCTCCTTTTTCTCCTTTTACACAACATCAATCCTGTGTCACTGGTATGAATGAATGGCGTAATTGAATGAAATATAAATTTCTTTCTCATGTCGTCAGAAATGTCGCAAACAATACTTTTTTAGAATAACGGAAAGATTTGAATTATCTGCTGCAGATGAAGTTTTTTTCATCGTATGCTTGAAATCTCTCATTCAACGTTCCCTAGTTTTACACAGATTGAGATTTTCCTGATGACCTTTTGTTTAGAAAACATCCATGTTTTTAGTGGGATGTGAGGTTTGTGTAGAAATTTAGTGATGGTGATGTGAATACATATTTGGTTCAGCAATTTCTCATATAATTGTGATAAAACAAGCTTCACTCTAGTTTTGAGAATATAATTTGCTCTATTTTCAGTTGTCGTGTTTTCTTTCCTAACTTTAAATGTTCCACTCTCTTCGTCTACTCTGAATATTGTAAAGTAATTTTCTGCACTACGATCTAATTGTGTACGGGAATTGGAGATTTTTTACCCGTTCAGTTCTTACGTCCAGCCGCATGCTTTCTTGAGGATTTTCTGATGAAGTTCCTGGAATTCGCGAGTGAATATTTTCCCCACTCTCTTAGCGAATGTTCTCACATACTTTGTGAAACTCTAAATGAGGTACATAATACTCGTGAGACTTGAGTACATGCGTTACGACAAATGTTCTCAAATCAATTTATTCGTTTTCACCCCTTCCACATTTCGCTTCCTGAAGATAACTTTACAATAGCAAACGAGTGTAGCAGCAGCAGTTCGGGGTTTTTTTTTGGAGGTGGTGGGGGAGGGGGGGGGGGGGGCTAAGGGACGAAGAGTCTACGGTGGTGGCGTTGTCCACGACCTCTAAAAAATTTTTGGGATGCTTTCCAGAATTTTCGCGGAACTATAATCGTATGGCGGCAACACGCCCTTCAATAATTTTTTTTTACAAAGCTGAATTAGATTTTTGTAAACTTCAAATTCCAAAAACAAACTGAAAGCAAGCCATTTGCACAATTTACAACTCATTACTTGTAGGCCGCTTTCAAAATTTTCGGAACCTGCTTCGTCCACCCCCCCCCCTCCCTCTCCTGCCCTTCCCCTGGGCTCTGCCACTAAGGCCCGAATGCACTAACATCCCTGCGGCGAGGGGAGCGACGTCCCCAATGATGTAAAAGTCGTAGCGGCGTCCGCACGCGACCCCTTCATAATGGGGGATGCCGCTCCCCTCGCCGCAGGGATGTTAGTGCATACGGCCCTAAGATTTAGGTGTACATACGGCAAACTTTGAACTTTTCAAGTCTATCTCCTGGCCTGTTCGATTGAATGTACCTCGGGACCACTCAACTTGTAAGACCCCATGACTGCTGGAAAGTTCGAATGCTTGCTTCGTTTTTTGTTTCGTCAATAGAATTGTGACTCGGGGCAATGTTATATTGTACATCCAGAGAAAGAGCGTAAGTAACTCAATTTGAACACTTGCTCGCTTTTCATGTAATTGCGGTCCAGTTGAACACGTTCCAAAAGTGGAAAAGGTTGAAAGAGACTAGAAAAAGCGATTTGCCATTATAGCCAGCCTACGCTTAGCGCTGTTTTCAGGTCAAACGGATAGAGTTTCAGCAGCTGAAATGTTGTTGAATGGCTCAAAGTTAATAAATAATTTTATAAGCAAAACGTTCAGTAGATTTCAAGAATGGAAATGATGTGTTCTTGCGCTGCCGACAACATTTGCGCGTAAAAAATGGCCATAGGGTGCAGAATTGAATGTGTGCAGTCAACACCCACTCTTCTACAACCAAGTGTTGTCTGACTTTGTAAATTCGATATCCATTCCGTCAAATCTACTAGATCACGTATCAGAAGTTGGAGAACTTGCGTTCCAGATATTTTTTGCTCCATTTTCAACATGAATTTCTGCAAAAATACGCAGAGCACACAAGCTAAGCTGGGTGGCAACGGTAGCTGCTAAGGCTCAATTACGCTTTCATCTAATGTAACCAACACGCAAGTGTGCATGCTTGAAGTACTCCATCTTCGTTAGCCATACTTCTGAATTTCTTATCAAATTTCAAATTTCAGCATGCAAAATTTCCTTCAGTTTCTAGGATATACTTACGTACGATTTCTTTCCATTTTCAACTCTATTTTATTTTTGTTGTATTTTACAGTCTGAATATTAGTAATAGAAGTGTTTTCACTGTTTGTAGATTTGAACAAAGTCCAGTGCAGCACTATACAGTTCAGTAAATTTTCCGCTCAATATAGTGTGCTTGCGGTGCCAAGACTTCGCGGTGAAAATTACGCGTGAACAAATAGCTACGCCTAAAATGCTGGCAATCTGCACGCGCAAGTAGCCTGTATTACAGGTGTAGCTATTTGTTAACGCGGAAATTACCGCAAACTCTCGGTACCGTAACCACACTATATTGAGCGGAAAATCTACCATAAGGTAGCTCGGTACTGTCCTGAGCATGGCTGTAGACCCCGCGAATTTAGTTTTGGAGTAGGACATTTTCGAATCTTTTGCCAGGATCTGCGCGAAGATCAAAGACTGCTCTTCAAAATAAAGCTTATACAAACGATGCCATGGACTTTCAACTTCCTTTCCTATAGAATAGGCAATCATCACATCATCTCCGTTTTACATAACGATTATTCACCCACTCACTTTTTCACTGCTTAACGTGCGTGCTCTGTTCTGCGCCTTTAGTTTGCATACCTTAAAACACTTTTTTAGATGATGGAGAAGACGCGAGTGCAATTCAGAGTGAGGGTGACGCGACTAAAACTTTGGGAAAAAGTGCTAGTATGTGGATGTGATGCATCACTTGGAGATTGGGATCCAGTGAAAGCTTTTCCGCTTACGAAAAGCGCTACAGACAGGTGGGACCATCATTTCTTCCGGTGGAGTTGTGGACAGTTGCACAAGCTGCTTGAGCTGAAGAGCCTCCATGAGAGTTAGATGGTGTCAAGGAGGTTTTCACTCCGGTAAAAAAGCAAAACAACAAAACTCTGGACGTTTTTTGTATCTATAAGGACTCCTTCATAATCTCAGCTATCACATACAGACTCACTAGAAAACTGCCTTATCCTGAACATTTCTGATATTATCGCAATTTTAAACAACGAGAACTGAGAAAATGTAAGGTCTTGTCAAGCTTATCCCTCTATAAATCACAAAGAGTGTAAAATCAAATGCTTGAGTTCGCATTTTCAAATAGAGAGAATCCTATGTTCTGATCGTCACCGAAACCGCATCCAAGAGAATTCGCTTATTTGGTCTAAGATTAATTATATGACTCTTTGTTTATGCAACTCAAAGCCAAACATTTTGTATTGATACTCTTACTAGGTCATTCTAATGAATATTAGATATTAGTACGTTTGGTACGTAGACTGAGTTGTTAATTTTTTTGAGATTCGTGATATTTCAAAAAAAAATCAAAGTTATGGGGTCATACAGGTCATAACAATTTGGATCTCTGAAATTTGGCCGAAATTCTTATTCTAACACATTTTAGCGACGTCTGGGTAGGTGCTACTGAAATTACCACCCCCTTAGAAGATCTAAAATATCGATATATGGTTGGCTATTATTTGGATCCATGCTTAGAAGATAGCAAGCATCTGCTCATATTACACAGGTAATAGTTCCGTTTCTTTTTTGATTAGTCTTGAAATCATTATATGCAATGGGTTTCAAATTTTCCAGGTGGGAGTCATTTTTGCTACCGCGGTCGATGTCGAATGCTTCAAATTCGGAGGAGGATGTTTTCGGAAACTATGGTAACAAATGGATAATTCTTGCGGTCATCGAAAAATAAAAGTGAAGCAATTCAGCTGGTAGTTGCTTAGTATCAGATGGATGGATTATGCACAATGAAGAAAATGTCGTACTTCTCCGAGTTCATAGCGAGGTATAATTTCAATATCCATATTGATGCATATCACCCTTATTGCCAGAAATTTTAGGCATTGAAATTTTATAAGAATACCCACAGAGGGAAAGAGCATCGAATAAAAGTTGTACCATTCGACGTGCGCTTCAAAGAGGTAAGTTGTTGCAGATACAAATCCTAATAAGTGAAAAAGTTTGTATATTCAAACTGCGTATAATTTTCTGGGATTTGGCCCCAAACTTGAGATTTGCATTTGCAACCATATGTATTTTGTGTTTAGCTTTATTTGTACGCCAGTGAAAGAATTTTTAATCACTTGTAACCCTTTATCCTTCTGACCGCGTTCGGAGTTGCATGTGCCGGAGGCGTGCCAGTGCCGCGCTGAAACCCGCGTGCGCGCCTCTTATTGATCAATGATTCCACCACAGCGCTGGCACGGCAAGTCTGGACGCAGTCTTAGCTTTCTATCACTGCAAGACCCACGGCTTTCGTCGCACTCCTCTGTCCTACTCATCTGTGATTTTATTTAAGAGCACTCGTTCCAGATCTATTCATACGAGGACCGTCATACACGTAAGGGCATGCTGTGGAGGGCATCCTCTGTCTACCAAAACACTGTATTCAACCATCTATCACATGCTTTGCACTTTGGTCTTACTCTTGTTCGCAGAACATGTTGTTAATTAGCTTGTCCCCCGATATAATTTTTCCTGAGCATGACCAAACTTTTCTCGCTCAAATGTCTTTGCATGTTCTTCAATGGTGCAAGTGTTGTCGCTGTGCAAAGTTCTGCGATCTGCTGCCATCTCTTTCCACTAAAAGGGACTTTTCAGCAAGAAAGTGTGGACGATGACTCGTTCCCGGATACAGATCCTGTGCTGCCTGACGTCCCAAGTTTTTCGAACACCCAGCTATCGGCAAGTTCAGGCTCGCTTTTTTCCTAAGACAATCTTAGCGAAGATTTCAGGTCCTCAGTAGAGAAGATCCTATTTTTGGGCAACAATATGTCAATGGCTCGATCTTCCGAAATAAAATCGATTACCTCATATTCAAAACACACACGGTCTCGTTGGAGCATTTGGTGAGGAGTCCTTTTTTTTTCGAAAAAAAAAAAGTTTTTTTTCTGTCTAGCGATCGTACTTTCTCCATACAAATCTTCCATAAGAGCTTCAATGCGCTTTTTACCCTATGAGGGCCTAGATTGAACCATGAGCCGCTAGAGTTACTTTATGGTACCGCGTCGCTTCACTGGCCGCAGCACCCTGCATTGTCTGCGTCCATGAATCACCTATACGCTCCCTTTCCTCTAGATAACCAAGTACATAATAGTTTTACAATTTAGGCATTTCGAATCGAATTGTTCCATGAAATGGATCGAATAGGAATTGCATACGCTCTTCCAGCGGCACTGCCTGATCTCTATGGAAAAGCTACTTTCCCCATTATTTCGTTAAGAAATATCCCCATTGGGCAAATTGATAGTAAGTATCACCCATGAAATCTCACTATCTCATTAGCAAAAGAATACTACTAAATCAGTTGACTATATGCTGGTAAAGTCCTTGCCTATCGATCGTTCCATTCGCGATAATGTGTTAGTCTCTTGGGGTAGGTACTGGAGGAAGCGCACTACATTAGAAGTCGGACACAGAGGTATGGGAAGCTCCTATACAAAGTGAGTTCAACCTGGTTTTCACCACTAGCTACTGATTTGTAATACGTCAGGAGTTGACTGGCCTTTATTTTCAGAATGGCAGTAGCTCGAGAGAATACGATCCATTCGCTAAGCGAAGCAGCAAGGAAAGGTGCTGACTATGTCGAATTCGACGTGCAGCTGACAAAGGTACGACCAGCTCTAGCTGATTTCTGTTTGAACTGCATCAAGGTTGTCCCTATCGACGCCATGCCAGCACCGTGACAGCGCCGTGCTGGAACGTCGATCAATACTTGGCGCGTACGTATGGGTCCCGGCACGGCGCTAACACGGCGCTGACACTGTTCCGGCACCTCTAGACGCAGATATTCCTAAATTCTGACTGATGACCTGTATCTTATTTGTACAGGATATGCAACCGGTGATATATCACGATTTTCACGTGATGGTTGAAGTGGCTGGCAGAAAGCGCGATCTTTTCGGTCAAGTAAGACATCATCAGTTGGCTATAAAGGTGAGGGAAAACTCACAAAATATATGGAAAAATTAAAGACAGCTCTTTTCTAGGATTTAAGCCTTGACCAGCTCCATCTTCTTCACCTCGAACATCCTGACGAACACCTAAATATGGCGTGGAGAGTGACTCCTAGTGAAGAAGAAGAGGATGAAGATGATAATAATCCTTTTCCTCACCTAAGAAAAGTTCTCGACTCTGTAAGCATTGATGTAGGATTCAATATAGAGATAAAGTATCCGATGAAACTGAAGGTGAGAGAGACTTGCATATGTGAGTATTTGCAAATTCAAATATATTTAAGGATGGAACTCATGAATGCCCTGCCTACAACATGGAACGGAATGATTTTGTAGATGTGATCCTGAGAACCGTTATAGAGTACGCTGGTAAAAGACGAGTGATATTTTCTAGCTTCGATCCGGATGTATGCAGTTTGTGCGTGTTTTCGTATGCTAAAAGGCTGTGTCCAGGCACATCAAAATTAGCTCAGAAGACCGTACCCGGACACTGCCCTTAGTGGCTAAGAATTTTTGGACATTGATTCAAAGGTTGTTTTTCAGAATCACCCTAAAGCAACATATATACCCTGTCATGTTGTTAGTTGTCGGTCCCACTACACGTTACACACCCTTCCAGGTAATATTTCCTCCTAATTTTCCTGGTTTTTTTTCAACATATTGTTGCAGGATATTCGCTGTGATTGCTCAAAACTCGCTGTAAACTTTGCTGCGGGCAATGGACTTTTAGGTGTTAATTTTCATAGTGAAGAATTACTCCAGGTAAATGAACACAACCACGATTTTTGAGTAGTGCTTGAATAAGCAAAAATCTTCCAGGATGCTACGGCTCTTCATCGCGCTGAGCAGTTTCACTTGGTGTCATTTGTTTGGGGCGATGACCTCAATGTCAAGAAAAACGTGGAATACTTCAAAAATCTCCAAGTCGATGGTGTTATCTATGACAGGTAAATTCCGATAGACAAATTCTCTTCTGGAGAAGAGTAAGTGCAGAATGTAAGCAAAATCCTTGAAGGATCGGTGAAGTGACTCCTCGACCTAACACTTTCGTTGTTGAAAACGAATCCAGAAAAGCGCTACCAATACGGACACCAGAATGTGTGAGTTACCTACTCATATAGTAGCAGTTTCACTTTGCCTTCAGCAGCATCCCAATTTTTTTCTAACTGTAAGGTTCTTTGTAATCGCTCAATTACGCCTATGTCACGGGCAGATGTCCCTGGGAAGGTCGCAGTGATTTTTTTGGGTAGGGTGACGAAGATATTTATGGCCTAGAGGGATTTTTTTGCATTTCTGAATGCTGCTAGAAATTTCCGCAAGCTTATAAACATGATTTGAAAAACCGAGCATAAAATAAATGAGTTCATTTCAGAGTCGCTCACCTACTCCAGATCTCATCCAAGCACGTAATAATATGCAACAGTTGTCTGTATCGAAGACTTCCGCCTTCAGTGCCGTTGAAGATCTGAATCGAGCGAAAACATACCTAAGTACAACGCAAAGCTGATCTCCATTCTGTACAAAAATAAGACACATTGCATAAAGTTTCAAATATGGCGGAGAACATCAAAACCAGAGTATGGGAGCAACAATGAAGTACTGATATTTGCGGATTACGTGATTCAAATTACATCTAGGTTTCTCCTTATTTCACACCATGTTATCACTTTAGAGCAACACGAAAAAAAAATACCCCCTAAGTAACAATTACCGAACAATATGCAAATATTGTGCATCGTCACCAACTTTGGTGACGATGATTACCTCTCGTTCAATCTGAAAATCAGAGTATGCATACGACTAGAAGATGTCTGAGTTTACTGCGCTTCTAATGTGTTTTGACCCAGTAATCATATTCAAATTTTGCAAGGAAAATTCAAAACGTCACATTAAACTTTTCGCCGTTTTTTTGAAATTATCAGATATAATTCTGAAAGAAATTCATGATCATTACAGAACGAATATTATCAGAGTTGAAATCGACTTGCTCAGTATATTCACTGTACAGTGCTGACAATAAAAACCAACAGAATCTCTTGCAATAAATGAGGTACAATGTGAAATAGAAGATGTTATACAAATTATCAATATACGTCATGACGCTGTCTTAAACAAGAATCTCACCCGTTCTTTACTAGAGATACTCCTTGGAACCAAATCTGGTACTCAGCTGACCAGCCCGCTTTTTCACTTCTTCTACAGAGGTGGGTTTTCCAGAGTAACCCATGTCCGTATCTCTGTTAAATGGCACTCTTCCACCAGAGTCGTCCTGAAATTCAAATAATGTGTAAGGGTAAGTCAACTACGGTGTTAGCTTTACAAGAATACTCAGCTACAAACCTTCGACTTGCTTCCCTCGCCTCGCTCCTTCAGGTGCTTATCAAGCAGAGACTCGCCACGGCTTTTCTAAAATCGTTTGCTTGAAAGTTATGACTTACTACCTAGGTTCCACCCACCTCAAATGTGGTCACGTTGGCTGCATGTCTTTCCTCTTCGGCTTTGCTGAACTTGGGCTTTTCCTAATAAGACAAATTTCCAAAGGATACGTTAAACTAAGCTCAGGTAGAGAAACGCAAGAGGCGCTGCCTCTGCGAACTACTTTTTCTTTCGCACACATTTTTCTAGACTGCTATATAACTCATTCTAGACTTACTCGGAAGCGCAAAAGAAAGTTCGAAGTAAACTATTGCACATTTCACAGCCTCACCTGAACCGGAGCCCGTTTCGAGTTCGGTGTATCCTCCCAGGAAGAGTCAAATACTGATGTATCATTACTCCTTTTGAATGCTCGGGCGGTGACACCAGCAACAGGTCCCCTTTTTGGAACCTTCGTCAGCCATTCTTCCCGTACTGGTTTGTTTTCCTAGAAAAGATCATCAACATACTTTCAAACAGAATTGAACAACGACCTCAAGCTTCTTCGCTTCCATTTCAATCCTTCTCCTCACGTACTCTAATGCTTGCTCCTCTTGGTCAACATTACTTATCGGAAGTGGTCCAACGTCAACATCGTCAGGATCACACGGCGGAGCAGTGGGACCGAACTCGTCATCATATTCAACTGATTCAACTTGTAGCTTCATGCCAGGTGGCAGCGCTGGTCCGATCTGTGGAACATCATCAACTTCTGACGGAAGCGTTGGCCCGATTTGTGGTACTGGCTCTTCTTTAGGCGGCAATGCTGGTCCAATCTGCGGAGCAGGCTCTCTAGGTGGTAGGGCTGGCCCGATTTGTGGTGCAGACTCATTTTCAGGTGGCAGCGCTGTCCCGATTTGGTGAGCAGGTTCTTTAAGAGGTAGCACTGGTCCAATCTGTGGTACAGGCTCGCTAGGCGGTAGCACTGGTCCAATCTGTGGTACAGGCTCGCTAGGCGGTAGCACTGGTCCAATCTGTGGTGCAGGCTCTCTGGGAGGTAGCACTGGTCCGATCTGTGGTGCAGGATCACCTCCAGGCAGCACTGGTCCTATCTGTCGTTTAGGCTCATTCTCGCAAGTTGTCTGAGGAGGAGTAGGTCCAAAGAGGTTTTCGTCCTAAACACGTGATGTTTTTTAGTCCTAAATACAACGCACAGGTTCTCCCAAGGACAAAGTCACAACTCGAAGCAGGCCTTACGCGGTCGCCTCGTTGTCTTGCGCCGCATGAGACAGGCGCCAGATTTGTCCGGTAGCCGGCTCGTGATTGGTTCGAATCACCTCGGATCACCGTCCTGACCAGTCACGAAGCAGTTAAGCGGCTAAGCGGATTTTGGCGCCTGTCTAACCGTCTTCAGCACTTCTTTCACACGCCTGAGCAGCGGCGCAAGACTCGAACGAAGCGGCCGCAAGGTCCGAGCCGCTGGACATACGAATTTCACTAAGACAGCCGTTACTTAGACATGCTCACTGCAGAACTTTTGTTCCAAGAATTGGCTCACCTCACCATTCTTAGCTGATACAGGCATTTCTGATGGAATGCATCTATCGCCTCCGTCTTTGGAGCTATTTGGAAGGACAGGGCCAATAACTGGAGTGTCTACAACATCATTCTGTGTACATGAAAAGAAGACTAGTTCAACCCAATTTAAATAGCAATGCAAAGGCCGAGACTGTCCATGTACCAAATTAGTACTATTTCTTCCAAGCGGCGTGCTAGCGCCGTGCCGGAAGACGCGCACGCACTGCGTATCGATCGATCGGTCTCGTCGGCGCAGTTCCGACACGGCGCTGGCACAGCGCTGAGGAAAACTCTGGACGCAGCCAGAGTTTTCCTCAAATGACCTCGAGCTTGAGTCGCTTCATTTCGGTAATCGAATCAAAAATTAGTGGAAATATTTTAAAGGATATACAAAAGCCAAAACCGTCTCAAACCAGAAAAGTAATGTGCGACGTAAGGGAAAGTTTTTTAGACCGATGTGGAAAAAACATACCCTCTTCCTTTTCTAAATTCATCGAGAATGAAAGCACACTCCGCTTTCCGAAATAAGTTGTCAAACACTGTATCTGGTACTCTTCCTCTGAAATGTATGACAATTAGAAGTACAAAAAATTCGCTGTCATTTGAGTTCCCGAATATGTCATTTTGCGGGTTTCTAGAGTACGATATTATTTGGTTGCAACAAGGTAGACTTAGATTTTTTATGAGAATAACCAGATATGCTTGTAAACTACGTTATGCTGTAACGAGGATGACTTATACAGTGAGATTGACTTAGAGTGATTGAGATAGACATTACTATAAATAAGCGCAGACATTTTGTAATCTAAAGCCTCGGACAGAGTTCACGCGATTCAATCGCCGCGATTCATCGCTACTAGATAAGTGTTACGAGTTATTGCTGCTGATCTTCTTGTATTTCAGTCGTGATATTAGTCACAATTAGTCGTGTTGGAAAACTATCACAACCGAAATGCAAGAAGATCGGCATGCAATGATATTATTATAGTTGTCTTTCCGCGACTAATCGCGACGATAAAATCGCGCGAACTCTGTCCGAGGCCTAAGGCACCCGCCATACTTGATCCCCTTGATCCGCTTAATCCGCTTCGTGCAAAACGCGCGCATAAGCAGTTTGTCATTTGGCGTCGCGTAGGTGAAAAGTAATTTCGTATGGTTACGCAATTTGGCTGTACGCGACGCCAAATGATAAACTGCTTATGCGCACGTTTTGCACGAAGCGGATCAAGCGGATTAAGCGAATCAAGTGGATTAAGCGGATCAAGCGGACCAAGCGGATCAAGTATGGCGGGCGCCTAAGGTTAAAACGAGAAGTTCAAAATCAGCGCTCCAGCACCAAACGTTGCGCGCGAAGAGGTCACTGCGCCGATTATACAAGAGGACTTTGGTACTGGAGAAGAGAAATGCCGATCTGCCGTAAATCCGTAATCTATGAAAATGAGAACCTTATAGGGTAGAAAACGAACTTATTGGGCAATGAAGTGAAAACTTGCCAAGGAAAATAAAAAAGTCGAAATGGAATCGGGTGACAACACTCCAGATAACGATCAATGGCTTAACCGTTAGTGTCGTAATTGTGTGCGACGTGTTGCACATGATGGCGTTTTAAAAACTAGAAATTTTTTGTCAAGAAACCCTCAGCTGTGCTGTAATCTCTTGTAACTAGATTGTTTATCACTTTCGATTGCTTCCTCAGCCGACAACTCCGCTATGTGGTGGATTTAGGTCACCTTTTCTGTCAGGCACAGTTTTAGTCTTGTGTTTTCTGTTGTTTTATCTATAGAAAGATTTCCAGATTTTCTTAAATATCGTGTATATGTAAATTTCGTCCTGGCAAATTCAAATTTCGAATTTTGTACTAAATGTTTGTGATCGTGGAGCCTCAAGCACAGATAAAAGAGTGTTGACAGCTGTATTCTACTTGCCTTTTTACTCTCATGCATGAGATAGTAAATTTGACGCATTATAGTGTCCCTGTGATGCCGAGAGCATTTCCGCCGGAACGATGGCCATGCGAAAACTGGAAATTTACTTTATCTAGCCATTTTACGTTCGCAAATTGTCGGCATCACGGGCATGGCAGTTCGGGGTGCAGTTGCTGTTGTTACCGCAAGTGCACTATGTGAACCGCCTAATCTTCTTGCCCATGTCCCTTCATCTTATCATGCGTATCCCTTCTGAGGCACTCTTTTCTTTCATCGGCGCCTCTCATAACAACCTTGTTATCACTTCTAACCGGATCATTGTACTGTTTGAACAAAATTTTGAAACAAGTCGCACTTCAGTAGTAGAGTTGTGCACGCGTGACTTACGCTCATTCAATTCTTTTCTAAAATAGGTATGTTTTCGGAAATCTTTCCGTTCTCTTTTTTATGCAAGTTTATTTGCAAAGATGCTAATAATAATATGTAAAATACGATGAGTATTGATGGAGACTAACGGAGATATAACTTGCTCTCATCCTTCGTACGATCAGTAACAGCGTCTTCTAGGCTCCGGCCGGATTTTGCTCAGAAGCGCCCAAAAGCGCTCAAAAGTGACCAAATTTCTCTATTTCTCTCATCTCTCCTCACACGAAAAAGTGTGGAGACATTAGAGAAATGTGGGCGCTTTTGGGCGCTTTTGAGCGAAGTATGGCCGGGGTCTTATGAAGGAAATTATTCACCAAAGAGATGTGTAGACAGCTGAGCAAATAACCATTGTTATTTGAATTTACTGCCTTCAAATTGATTGCGCGCGAGACTTGATTTTACTAGGAGTCGTTAAAGATGAAGAGTGTCATCAATTGTGCAGTTTCCCAGCAAGGCAAGGTGACTGTATTTGTTTAGTATTTTGTCAGCCAATCAGTTAGTATCACGGAGTGTTATGGTTGTACGGCAGAACACGGATGGCAACCGCTTTCTCGTTTTCATCCTCCGTCCGTTCTTACTTGATGTTTGCATCACTTGACTGTCGTTAAGTCATGTTTATGACTTACCGTTAAAATAATGATAAACCTTTTGTTCAAGCTAAACTTTTACTTCTTGTGAAACTCTTATGTCTTGTTTATTATGCAAAATAGAACAAGATTTGCAGAAGTGATCACTTTTGAATTTGCCCATAGCGCAGTAGTCCGAACCTGTACTTTGGGTGCAAGAAGTCCTGTGTATCGATAATCTATCCTTCACGTAGTGCAATGACGCTAGAGTCCCTAGTTAACGCTACTCTGGTGTCTCGCATTCGGTTGCTATCATTTATTTAGTCACTACAGAGTAGTTCGTGTGCACGTCAGTGGCTACTTACTGGCACTTTTAACACTTCTAAATTCAGTCTTGCTTAGGAGAATTTTTCGCCTCCAAAGTATCATGACATGCTTTGCTGACGTTGTGAGTACAAAAAAAATTACATGAAACTATGCAGTTATCAACACTAGCCACGTATCATCTAGCATCATTCTCGATATCTCGGGTTTCAGCAAATTTTTGCAGGCGCATAATTGGAAAGTGACATCGAGTTAGCTCACATAGACGTCGGAGCCAGTTTTGATATTTCTTTCTAAGTGGCGTCACAACAAGCATTCACTTTTTTTGCAGTCTTTGAAGTGACATCCGACTATTGGACGTTATCTTTTTTGACATTCTTTTTCTTTTGTGGGTACACATATACTCTTAACTTTAAAATGCGACATTTGTTGCCACTAGGATATTTGAAATACGGTGAAACAGAAGGGGGAAAACATGCCCGACAACACTGCGGCGCGTCTGCGCCATCTCATCGCCTGTGTCTTTGGCTTATCTCTATGTTCTATCTCACTGTGCATCAATGTTGTTTAACCATAACATTGTACGACCTTCCATTACGAATCCGTTTCTTTTTCCGAAATACTCTTTGCTATACACAGATTATGGCAGATTATTCCATTGGAGAAAGGATATTAGAGGAGCGGTTATATGAAAACGAGACTAGTCGTCCTCCTGAACCAGATCATGTGATAAATTTGAAACATGGTGTTATTCGTGAAGCTTACGAATTATTTCTTACGCATTTCGGTGCCAATTCAATAGACGTGAGTCAATAATTGTTTGACTGGAACCACGAAAGTTTCCTTTTTTGTGCGTTGTAGTATTTGCAATCCATGATTTTGAACACACTAGATCCAGGAACTGAAAGCTGCAGTTGCTCCTGGACGAGTGAATCTTATTGGTGAACACATTGACTACTGTGATGGATTCGTTCTACCCATGGTAGGTGAGCATATTATGATATAGTTATGTAAACTTTGAAAATGGTAGTTTTGGCTTGACTGGATTTGCTGTCTGTTTTCTCCATACCATACAACTAAATATGTAGGGTTTGCTAGTTCGCTGTGCAGTTTCCTAACTTTGAGTCTTACTTTGGAGTAATTTTATGCACCACCGTATGGCACTAGTGCATACTAGCAAGCTCTCAGTGGAGTTCCCACCCATCATTAACCAAGTGCACTTTATCGCGACAGAATGAAATCGTGCATTTGCCTAGAGCTTAAACCAGATGTGAATCATAATTACAGTCTACTTACAAACAATCTTATAACAGTTTTCACGACGTAAAGCTGATTAGCTTAATTCGGTTGAGTTTCAGGCTATCCCTCTCTATACTGTTGTACTTGGACGGAAGGCGCATGATCAAAAACGCGGTTCCACTGATGTTTTCTCATCTTACTTTCAAGATCCTATTACCATCCAACTACCTTATGACAAGATTGTCGGGAAGGTATTAACTGCTCATTTTGTGTTGGAATTGGAGATCATGTATCGTTATAGGAACAAACATGGGGAAGATACATACAAGGAGTGCTTGCTTTGACTGGTTGCAATCTCTCATTAGATGTGGTTGTGCATTCCAGCATCCCACTGGGAAGTGGTCTCAGCAGTTCTGCTGCTCTCGAATTAGCGACATATCACTTCGTTTCGCAATTTTGTCCTGGTGAGACTCTTTCCTAGTAGTTTTGTTATGTTTAATTTCGTTGCGCACAGACTCACTTTAGAGCCTTTACCTAGAGGGGTGAAAAGTGCAGAACTGTGTCGTCGGGTTGAGCATGAGTACGCAAAAGTGCCTTGTGGAATTATGGATCAGTTCGTCATTGCTTTAGCTGAGCACGGACATGCTCTCCGCATAGACTGCAGGTATAGGATGATTTGATCAACTTCCAAAGTCAAACGCAATTCATTTGCAAGATTACTCTTGATTTTGTTGGCGAAAGCCTGGGTAAATGAATTATAGCCATGCCCTGATTCTGATGTCCACTTAAAGCCGCGTTGAACTTCATATGCCACTTATTAGGTACAGAATGATGTTGACTTCAATACACGTTTTGTGTTGGAATCTTTATCCAAAAAAGTGGATTACCCTATCTGTAATCGAATTGTTCATACATCTGCATGTTCATCCGACTGAAAATGTGTTAGGCAGACATCATCTACATGTCCTCATTCAAAACACTCTCTTTGCAGATCCCTTTCATATGAGTTGATTCCGATGAGTATATCTCATGATGCCACATTTCTGATAACCAACAGTGGAGTGCGGCATGCACATGTGGGCAGCGAATATGCTAAAAGAAGAAGTACTGTAGAAAAAGCTCTCCGAGTGTGAGTTTATAACACATCTTTAGTTTTTTGATTCGAGTTTGTTGTTCTAGTCTCAACGTTGCATCATGGCGTGATGTGACACATCAGCTTCTCCGAGAGAAGTCCCACCTGTTTGATGCTTTCACACTGGATTGCGCCTTGCATGTTGTAAGCTCTTTTTGCATCTTGTCTCAGTAATACAATAATACAATATGTCTCAATACTAATACACAGATTCTGATGGAAAGTGATTAACAGGTTGATGAGATTGATCGGACGGTCAAAGCAAGTGAAGCACTTCTAGATAATGATATTACTCATTTCGGACGATACATGTGTGAAGGTCACAGCTCTCTGAAGTAAGCCATATCATTTCGAGAATGCATGTCCGAATGCCGCGGAAAAATGTTTTCAGGGATAAATATCATGTGTCATGTCCAGAAATTGATGAGTTAGTATCACTCACGTTGTCATGTGAGGGCGTTTTCGGTTCAAGAATGACTGGTGGTGGCTTCGGGGGCTGTACGGTCACGCTTGTTAGAAGGGAGAACTTGGAAGATGTGAAGAATTATATAAAGGTGATTATTCAGATTCACTCATTCGCTCTTCGATGGTTTTTGCAATACTTAAAGCAGCACGTTAATTGGCCCAAATCACTAAATTACTTGTACTAGTTCGTGCATAAATTTTCAATTTAGGAAAACTACAAAGGTGGTACTCCAGCGTTTTACGAAAGTGAACCGGTGTCACATGCATCCGCGGCCGATTTAGAATTTCTGGGCATGTGAGACGTTCGACAGCACTGGTACTGCCATGTTCTTTTTGGAGATTATGTCACAACGGTTACAGTGTTTAGTCAAAAAGCTTTCAAGATATATGTTCAACGTTTTAGGTGATGATTGTTTTATTGTGATACGGTTTTTGATAGATTCTGTTGTCACGTGTTCCATTGTAAACATTTGTAGACTGCACTTATCAATAACGACGTGTCTTAAAGGGAATGATTTATAGCATATAACAGAGGTAAAATAAAAGTTTTACAATTCATTTTATTTATTCATTGTATTCATTCTTTTGGCAGCTCATCACCGTAAGAGGACCCAGAGCGATTTTTTGTGCAAATACGAAATGTCGTTTGTAAAGTAAAGGTTGTCAACATTGAATTTCTTTCTCTTATGTCTTCGACGCAGGCAAAGTCAAATTTTCATGATCGGACATGGACGACATAGGCATACCGTCAATCTTCATTCACAAGCAAACACATCAATTGAGATGTTCATATCCATTGCGAACAGCAGCATCGGTACCGCGATCAGGACAAGAGCAGTACTCTGCATCTTTTCCAGGTCTTCCGTCTACACCTTCATCACCAGGACGTCCATCTATGCCTTGCGGTCCTTGATTTCCAGGCGCTCCAGGAGGACCAGGAGGTCCGGGTCGACCATGTGCTCCAGTCATACCATTTTGTCCAGCTGGTCCAGGCAAACCAGGGTCTCCTCGCTCTCCCTTTGGTCCTGGTCTACCAATAGGATGGTCTGCATCTCTTCCTTTTTCTCCTGGAGGTCCCGAATCACCCATCTTTCCAATTGGACCAGCAGGTCCTTGCTCTCCAGAAATTCCGGGCAATCCATCGCGACCAGGATTACCATCTTGGCCTTTTGGTCCAGGAAGTCCGCGAGGACCAGGGCGACCAAGTGCTCCTGGTGGTCCAGGTGGACCACTAGGACAGTTGAAGCAACCACTTGTGTCTCGCTGCGGTGCCATGTCTTCTGAATGCACACCCGGTTTTCCGTCCAGACCGGGGTATCCTTCAGGACCAGGTGTTCCTGGAACTCCCTTAGGACCAGGTGGACCTCGTGGACATTTATTGTCGGCATTGCAGCTACATTTTGAGTTTCCTCCAGCCAGTGCAGGTGGAGTAGCAGGAGGGTTGTTGACAGGTGTTGCCGGTGCACCGGTATTGGGTGGTGTGTTAACAGCTTCGCTTTCGTATTGTTGTTCTTGTTGTCGGCGAACTCTTCGAGCTGCACCAACACTCATGATATCTTTCCATATATCATCAGTTGTTACCTAAAAAGTACATAAAAAAATTGAAAAAAAAGAGTACTAAGGTTCAGTAGGCTTACCTTGAAATTGCCGAGCTCCCTTTCAAGATCAACCCAGAAGCCTGCTACTTCTGAATAAATGGAAAACATTGCCACCATGCATGCTGCCAGCGTGACAGCGGAAACAGAAGAAGCGACCATAGTCGCAGTCTGGACCTTCATCCTTTCGAGCAAAGGACCTGTAGTGGATGGACGGAGAGTTGTGGAAACGGTATGCCTTCCCGTTTTTATAGGATGCAAGTGGGTCACTTTCGGGCATCTGAGGTTCAGTTTTTAGCATACCGAGGGATAGTGAAGATGCAGAGCGCGCAGAAAGCAAACTTGATTAGTTTGCGTTTCAAACCGGATAGTAGAAATCGTATCGAGATTGTAATTGTCTGGAAAGACAGCGCGCATAGAATTTTCCGACGCACGCTGTTTGATGTTTTACAGTGTTATCGACTCCTTCTTTGATCTATATTTTTTTGGAGTTCAACTTCTTTTCCGATGTTTTTTTTACACAACACGTGTGATATTTTCTATTTCGCTACACATCGTGATGAATAAAAATTTTTTATTGTGGGTTTTCAGATTTTGAAAAAAATGCGAACGGGTCTATTTGATAGCATTTTCTGTGGCCTCTCGTGAGATTCAGGAAAGCAATAGAATAATTCGTTACAACGAACTGTCACAAGCATTGCGTTGTTCACCATCAAAAGAGACAGAAAACTTTCTATGAAGGGAGCGGTGTTAGTACGTTTTCATGCCATCATTCAGAATATGCAATGAATTTTTCTGAAACGAAAAAAAGGGGAATATTTTACTAGGTATGGTCAAATGTATGTGTCTACGATCCTCCAGGGCGTCCAAGCAAATCCTCTTGAACACCTTCACCTATTATGTGAAATTTCTTTGAGCTTAAGTAAGCTACTGCTCAAGCAACTTTTCTTAAGATTCACCCGAAGCTGAAAAACTCAACTCTATGCTCCAGTACCGTACTCGAGGACTTATAATGGCGCTCTCGGCAGGGATACAGTACTTGAGTACCGTACTCCACCCAAAAGTCGAAATACGGCCACGAGTGAATTAGCTGCATCGACGCTTGAATAATGGCTTCTTGAAATCACATAGCATCTAAACCTCAATTCGCTACATCAGGCCATATTTGAGATTTGATGTATTAGGTCATTCCGAAAGTAATTTCGCTTTTTTCAAACGGGCGCCACATTTGATAGAACAAAGGTTTTTAAGAGATCTTGGTAGCATTCGATGCAGCATTTCATTCTCTTTCTAATGGTTACGGAAGTGTTGCAAAACAGTCAGTGAGCTTTCAGAAAATAACCAAAAACTGCGACCCATGCTTTTTGAAATGGTCAAGTTTCACAATTTTTTGAACCTTTCATATCAATCCTCAGAAGGAGTTCAAGTGACGATTCGATAGAGTAGAGCTTATAGAAAACAGTGCTACTTTTTTCCCTTTCTCATATCTCGCCGTAATTTTTTAAAAGATTTTTAGCACAACCATCGAATTTTGGCAGGCCCACTTCAACCACAATCGCATCAAACATCATAATTATTCGGAATTTGAGACTACCAAGATGGTACTATGACTTAGCATTAATCTCACAAAGCAAGTGAGGATTTACGGGTTCGAAATATCAAATTTCGAGTTTTTTCGGGTACAGCCTGGGGCTCCCTATAAAATGAGTTAAGATGATTTTATCCCTGGAAACTAAACGAATCGGAAACAAAAACAACCATTCGAAAGAGGAGAAAAAGCTGCATCGAATGACACCCGAGCTGCTCAAGGTTTGATGTTTTACTAGGATTTAGCTGTCCAAGTATGGAAATCGGTAGCATCAGTTAAAATTCTGTTAAAAATGTATGACAAGCTGTGGAAAAGAGAAAAAAGTTGCAGTGTATTCTAAATGGTTTGCTCTATCGAACCGTCACTTGAACTTCTTCTAAGAATTGATATGAAAGTTTTAAAAAATTGAGAAACTTGACTATCTCAAAAAGCATAAGTCGCAGACTTTGGTTATTTTCTGAAAGCTCATTGACTGTTTTGCAACAATTTCATAACCATAAGAAAGAGAATGGAATGCTGATTCGAATGCTCCCAAAATCTCTTGGAAATCTTTGTTCCATCAGATGTGGCGCCCGTTTGAAAAAAGCGAAATTACTTTCGGAATGACCTAATATATATTGTAGTATTGCAAGAGCCATAATGTTCTGGTAAATCAGCCGTTTTTCATGGCCGCATTTAGCACAAAATTTTCATAACATAAAGGTCTACATTACCCTTTAACCACATTAATATGAGGTTCTGTAGTAGTTGACATCCTCGGAAAAATTTCTGCATTCTCTGGAGCAGCAGAGCTGCAAAGGCGGACAGGTATATGTATTCAATTGTACGCGAGCATTTCCACAGTGTCCTCTTGTCAGATGGCCATCTTTTGAAAATTATATTCTTGGATTGACTCACAGTAGTAGTGACATATAACTATATATTATACAAGACCAAAGCGCCGCTACGCGGCGCTTTGGTCTTGTAAGTGGATAAAATGTACAATTCATAAGCTATCATCCTGGCGCTTTCAGCTATGTATTCCAAATTTCAGCTTATCCAGCATTATTCAGACAATGTACGACGACATATGTACGGTTCATGCTAATTTGATATAGAATAACCTGACCGGCAAAGTTTTTGAGAAATGAGGTTTTTTCTCAAAGGTTACACCCGTGAATCGATTCACTATTACTAAAGCAGCAACTTTGAAGTCAAAATCTGTAGTTTGATCTACTTTGTAAACTGTAAGACCACTCTCTTTTGCAAAATTTGCACAATCGCTCATGTAAAAATACCTTGGAGTTTACAACACAATCAAAGCAAAATTCATGAGTAATCGGCTATCGCTAGACTATGCAAATTCGGTGCCTAGTAGCGGAATGGAGTACATGATACGTAACTCGTAACATTTGAAGATAAGAGTGAGATCGATGAGTATATGCATATGCAAGGTTAATAGTTATTAATAACTATAGTGTATTCAGCATATGAGTAGTATGATATATAGGTAATGACGTAAGATAGATGAATGTATAGTGATATGCGAGTAACGCTAATTGTTATCAAATTTTGGTTGTGACACGTAAGAAAACAAAACAAAGCTATCAAGATCGTCAAGATTGTTGAGGATTTCAATATGTGGATAATTGGTGTTAGTCTATTAGATACTTAATTCATGGCTACAACTTGAGAACTGCCTTGATGACCACATTTTTCACCCGTTCCTGTGCCTTCTGCACTTTGAGACCTTGTTTTCTTCGAGCTCGCGATAAAGCCACATAAAGTTGTCCATGCGAGAACACCTCCGTATCGAGAAAAATACCCACGTTCGTCAAACTCTGCCCTTGCGCTTTATTTATTGTCATTGCAAACGACAAACGGACGGGGAACTGTCTCCTTCGCAATCGAAATGGAACCCCTTTGTCAGTATAATTATCTATGCGTGGGATTGGCACGAAATCTCCCTTTCGATCACCTGATGCAAACCTGCAACCTAGAACGAAATGGCCGCAATGCGCGACTATCAATCTAGTACCATTGCAAAGACCATTCCGAACGTCTAGATTCCGCAGAAGCATAATTATCGACCCTTCTTTCAATCTAAGCTTGTGTGGAGGTAGTCCAGCTGGAGCTAGGCTATTCAAAAATTCAGTGCTATATTGGTTTGTTTCTGCCTCATCACTCATCACATCATCAGCACTTATGTATTCGCGCAGTTGGCCTGGAAGTTTGTCTAACGCTTCTTCATTAATTCTATATGCCTCAAGGTTTCTCGGCGCCAGTATCGCACGTTCGCTTAATGTTTCAAAGTCTGTAAAAAGGTCTCCAAACACCTCGTCAATAAGATTGCCAATAGAGATGATTTCACGCGGAAGTTCTATTCTACCCATTTCGTCTTCGTCTGCCTCTCCATTTCCAACGGTCATCAAGAAATCACACCAATCAGATCCAGATTCAACCGCTCGCATGTTAATTGAAAGACGGTGTTTGCGAAATGACTTCCAAAGATCACTATTTTTCACGCAAGCGTCGATCATATCCGACTCCTGTCCTCGTACTATGATAGGCAATACCTGTCGAAAATCTCCCCCTAATACAATAGTCTTTCCTCCGAAGAGCTCGCTGTTGCACATGAGATCTTGGAATAGAACATTAACTGCTTCAAGCCAAAACTTCGGGACCATGCTAATTTCGTCCCAGATAATGATGTCTGCTTTCTTGAGTGGAATGGCCTCTTTGGAGTCTCGACGCATAGTGGAGTTACGATTGCCCTCATGCATATTTAATTTGAACCTGGAGCTGGCCGTTCTTCCCTCAGGTAATAAACTAGCTGCGATTCCCGTCCAAGCTACGCAGATAATGGATTTGTGCTGCCCTTTTAACATGTGGTATATGGCATTATACAAATAGGTCTTTCCACTACCTCCAGGACCATCGACGAAGTGCAATTTGGGTCGTCCAAGACCGAATGACGCTAAAATACTGTCTGCAGTCAACCTTTGTTGCATGTTAAGACACTCATACATTTGCAACCCCTTCTGCTCATGATATACATAGTCAGTCAAGTCAGCCAAGACCGGTCGAGTCTGTGAAGGCGGTTTTATACTGACAGCTAAGTCATAGCACAGAACCTCTAGTCGGTCGTATAAGTCAAAGTATGCTGACGCTTCGGCGTCAGCTTCACTGCAGCCTCTGTGGATAAAGTCCTCTGCCATTTCAACTTTGAAGCGTTCATAGAGCTGACGTGGATCGGAAATTGTACAAAACGCCAGCAAATAGGAGAATGTTGCCCGAAGTTCGGCAGGCATTTGGAAGTGAGCAACTTCCTCTAGGCAACTGACGTAATGTGCGTCATCGTGCAAAAGACCTAAAGCGCGTACTGCATCCAAAAATGTCGGATGTACTTGACCTTCAACTGTGCGGAGGTCTTCAAATGAGCGCATGTTCTTTCGATGAAGAAGCAGCATGCGCAAGCTAAATCTTTCAGGATCATTTGGAGGAGCAACAAACATGCGACCAATCTGACGGTTCCCCCTTTCCCTTCTTTTCCATTTTCGTGTTTCTTTCATAAAAGTAAAGTGCTCAGGTAATTGGTAGTAGTAGAGCGTACGAGGGTCAACACCTTTTGACACGTCAACATTTTCTCTTTCCATACGATCATATTCAACATTCAACTTAAACCAAGCTGTGAGCATGGAATCTCGAGAGGACTCGCGCACCGCAGCTTCACGCTCACTACCTGACTTGAAAGTCACCGACTGAAAATCTGGGAGGTGCACAGCCAGTCGATAAACGGTGTCAGATTTGAACTGGCATTTGTTCTCGAAGATATGATGCACAGCCTCGGGAGAGCACACGTATCGAGCGTCTAAGTGAGCACGGATTTCGTCAAGTCTCTGATTTGTATCCTGTTGCACTAATCTTAAGGAAGCTCTATCTGGTCCCTTGTACACATATTTGAATAGGTATTTAACCGCCTGCACATAACCGCAGATCTCCAGGTTAATGTGAGCATTCAGAAGAAGCAAGAGATAGGGGTTATATGGCACGACGTCCCTATTATCATACGTCTCTACTCCCACTTTTACCGTACGACCGTCGCGAGGTCTTTTGTATTTGGGATACCCGTCGACATCAATGACAGTCGATTCCCTATAGTCTTTAGGAAAACGTTTCAAACATTTTCCATTCAGCATGCATGGGGCGGTCAGATTGGTCATTCCGCACCGACGATGTATCATGTTTCTCGATACTATGTTGGTCAGACGGGGATTTTCGGCAGCGCTTGGAAGATATGCATGAACCGCCGAGTCCACATCCTCAGAAGTTCTAGGCTTAGCATCTGCAGCCATTATTAAGAGCATGTGACAGTGCGGAAGCCCTCGCTTCTGCCATTCTACTACGCCAACGTGGGCAGCAACAGAGCCTAATACTTTTTTCTCGAAAAGATACTCTTGTAGAACTTCTAGCTTTCGATTAAATACGCGCGCTACCAAGTCGGGCCGATCTGAAGAGGATTGTCCATTGTAGAGGTTCTCGCTTATCTCTTTCCAATGGGGATTGCAAGTAAAAGTTAAAAAATAATCCGGCTTCCCATACTTGGCAACTATGGACATTGCATCATGATATGACTGATGCATGGCTCGCGGACTAGCGCGAAACGATGAAGGCAAGATTATACGTTGCCCAGGAGGCCCATCTGCGCTGTCACTGGCCAAATGGTCCATGAGCCCTCGATAACTATCTACCCGCAGCTCCTTTTGATGCGTGCGCGTATAATTTAGTCGATTTTGTTCAATTTTGACGTACGCGTCAACTACAAATTGCTGCAAAAGTTTGCCGGCGTAATGGAGCGGATTGAACGATCTGCGCACGGCCAGGAGATTAGAGTAAAACTCTCGCTGAGTAATTCTAGTGCGACTGCGGCTACTGGGTCTCTTTTTCAAATGGATATGCCAACCGAGTCCGCCTCTGGGAAAAAATAGAGGATAAGTTAGCGGATCGCAACGGCCATCGATGTTTGGAATCACTTGCAGACCGATCCTTCGATGATGAATAGCGAGAGAACGTGTCGCTGGAACGTCGTTGTCTTCCCCCACATAGACAACAGCTATCTCGTTAGTGGCGGGAACATTGTAACGGCGGCGATCAAGAGTCTGAGCATCATCAAAGACCATACGGATTGTTGGGAGCTGTCTGCTTTCCCGTTGTGCTCGTCTCTCCTCTTCTGCAACAACGTCACCCATCATCTTTAGCGAAGCTGCGTAGATATTGTGAGAATGCAGCCATGACGATAACTGCTGCATGACACTGGCATCACAGTGCTCGTTTGCAGGGTTCCCACTTCTCTCAGCTGCTGCCGCCTCTGTGTCCAATATATAGAGCTGCCCGTACTGCCGAGGCATCCCTTCTTCTGGTGTAATAGGACCGACGAAGTGATACACCTGACCATGAATTCTAAAGCAATACGGGCCGTAGCCACGGGGTGTATCCACTTGAGCCCCCATCGAAGCCATGGCGAGAGCGCTGTTATATGAGCGAATATGATCGCGGAAGTTCTTGCAAAGGTTGGTGGTTCCCGTGTAAAAAGTGCGAAAAAGCTCGGGAAAATCCTTGAAAATGTCTAAAGATATGTTGCCGAAGTTGCAACAAAGGTTAAAACTTCCATTCACAGGTGCAGCTTCGTTTGGAAAATATAGAGCCCCACAGTAATTACAACTGACACTTAATAAACCTAAGTAGTTTTCCTCCACATAAATGGTTGTTAGGGCTATGCCGAGATTGGGAAGAGTTCTGGTGCGTTTACGCGGTCCAAGGCACTGAGATGAGCTGGTCTGAAAACTGTGGCCATGCGGAGGAAAAACAAATCGTAATGCAAGCGAACCGTAGCTTCACGCGGATTCCGGTCACTCTCATATAGCATTAAAGTGTTCCTTCCATCTTCGTTGCAATGTTGCGAGGAAGCCTTAAAATCTTTGATGAGATGTTGCCAAACCGAATCAGCTGATCGCACACCTCATTAAATTCTGTTGAACTTGTACTGGGTAGATCATGAGAGCAGGAAGGGACCAAATAGTTCTCCTGATAAAAAGTGACATTTAAACAGAAAACCATCAAAATTCAAGCTCACCACTTCTTCACTTTCATCCTGATGAGCTGTGGTTGCAGATGACATTGGTGTGCCCTTCACACTGTCCTGAAGTCTCGATCGCTTCTGGACTTCGCCCAACTCATCCTGCGTTCCCACCGATTTTCTTTCTTTTGCTTTGGCTCTCAGCATCCTTGCTCTCTCAGCCTTCACTGCAAGGCGTTCTCTTCTGTTCTGTTCGCTTTCACTCATTCTTTTCAATCTATCCCTTTCTGCCATTGCTGCAAGACGTTGCTTGCGCTCATCTTGCGTCTCGTTAGATCTTTTGAGAGCAACTCGTTGTGCTTCTACAGCAAGTCTTGCATCGCGTTCGTCTTCGGTTTCCGATTTTCTTGAAGTAACACGCGTAGCCTTTCTTCGAGAACTGCTCGCGAGTTCCTTCTGCGTTTCACCGATGCCAGAAGGCATCTGCGTAGTCTGCGAATCCATATCAGATTCCTATATGTGTTTATTGAGCATAGGTAAATTACACACACTGCGATACCGCGAAGCAAAAATTTTTTACAACACATTCAAAATTTTTCATCGTGCTTCGTATAAATCTCTTGGCTAGACAAAATGCTGTGTACAGATAGCCCGAAAATGAACACGAATAGTCTTATGCGACGCCTTTGACACGGAAACAGTGTTTAGAGTTGAGACAGTGATTGAAACTAAACAGATCTCAGAGTGCAGCAAGGTCGATAGATTTTAGAAGATCAAAACAATTTCTGCATTTCTGTGCAACAACGAATTTGACTTATAAACAATGTTTGAAGGTAACGATATAAGAACGAAGAAGGCTTGAAAGCAAAGCCAGCAGTTCTTGAGATAGCTATTGATCCCCTAAATTGTTTTACCATTTTTTTTTTTGATATGAAGACACTGCTGGAGCAATGAATTAAGCGCAAAGAAGAGAAAACTCATAGAGGGAGAGAGAAAAAGACCGATTTCCGCGTATCTAGCGCTCAAAGCTACCAATAAGCATGGAGGGAAGAACTTTCAGAATGTAAATTCGATGATAATAGAAGTGATAGAGCAACCATTGGGACAGGAAGAGATTTGGGATAGACTTCAAAAGATGCAACAGTAATGGTGGATAGAGAGTGTTGGGATGAATACCACTTTGACTTTGGGTACGGTTGATGAGTGAAGTGAACCTAACATGAAAGGCGACCGAAGCATACATAATGCAAGGTGGTGTCTATGTGATGCACAGTTTTGGAGGCAAAAGGTTGCTTATTTGGCTTTGCGACGTCTGAGTTCTTTTGTTTTTGACTTTTTTGTGAAATTGACCTTTCAAAGAAAGTTCCAGAACTGTCTGGCGCTCTCTGAACCCTAAGGGATTGCAAACATGCCCCGGCGGTGTTGAATCGTTCAATGGATTGAATTGCGACGAATTCCTTTGTTTTCGACTTTTTTGTGAAATTGACCTTTTAAAGAAAGTTCCAGAACTGTCTGGTGCTCTCTGGACCTTAAGGGGTTGTAAACATGCTCGCCGGCAGTGACGATGTCACTGGTGACGTCATCGGCCGGACATAGCCACATGTTTACACTTGATGGGGGGGCCTGCGAATTATTATAGTAGATGATACAGGTAGGATTGAAACGTGAAATGATTACAGTTGGCCAATTTTTTACTCTTAGTACCCGGCAGCCGTTGATGTAAAATCTCTGTAATTAAACTATACTGGAATGTCGCCAAACAACCATTGCAGAAAAGAATCATCAATTTATTCAGACAAACAGGAGAAACGAGTTAGTTTATTAGACACCCAGTACAGAAAGATGTAGAGATATAGATTTATTTCTTTCCTTTAACAAGAGTTGTCCTTGATGTGAAATCAAGCGTGAAAAGACCCAAAATGCAACAATAAAACTAAGAAATAAATAAGGAAATTATAGCAAGCACTCGAACTTCCACTAGAAACAACCACAGGGAGGACGATCGTAGAACTATAGTCGACATAACATTGCGCCCTCCTATTACACCGAATGACATTCCTCGAAAGCTTTTTCCTTTGCACTTTATTACCATCGCTTTTTGTAGTCGTCCACTGAAACGCCACCCGGACCGTATGCAATGACTAGCAATAGACCTAAAATAAGTAAGTAGAGAGAACAAAAAGAAGGAAAAGGCATCTGAATTACGGAATTATTGTATTTGAACTAAGGATTGACGACAGATGTATCATGGAAGAAAAAATCAGCCACAAATGACACATTGCTTTTATAGTATCTAACAAACGCCGGCAGAATTAGTTACCTATTTAAAAAGGGAAAAACAGAATCAAGCAAATGACAGTGATAAAAAAGAAAATCCAATTTTTGCAAGGACAGTCATCATCTATCACAAGAGATTCACATACTGCCAACCTTCGACCCTTTGATCAAAAGTGAAATCAGAAAAAAACACAAACCTCCAATAACGGACATTGTCTGGAAAAAGTCGTACTTCATAAAATCACGATAGAAGCGATCTGAGGGAATGGTCCACCTCAAAATAATGGGATTTTAAACTGAGCAAGCTAGAAAAATTGATGACAAACCAGGCGTTAAGCCACAAATTGAGACCGAAAAGCCAAACAACGAGACACATGGCAGAGAGCTTGGTCTTGTATCCAACACATACTAGCATAATCAAAGCGAATCCTACCACAATCTCGATAACCTAAAATACCACAGTTAGAAAAAAACATTTGACAAGAAATAATTAGTTGACCATTTGTGGCAGCCACAACAACACACCCACCTGCAGGAAACTCATTTCAAAGTGCAGCAATGATGTAAACATAAATATCAAAAGCACACGGCCTGCCAATAACAAGTAGGATTTCGGTTTATTCGTGTCACCCATTGTTGGTACGCCAGCAAAAAGTGATGATTTCTCTTCCTGAGTTTCAGCTAGGAGTAGCACGATTCCTCCACCAACTGCTACATTTCTGAAGTGAGCGACTGTGTTTACAGGAGAAAATATATAAAATACTTGCAGTGCATGAGCTCTATGATGAAGAAAAATGTTGACGAGATAACTTGAAAAGAATAACCAGTCTTGTCACGACTGCCCATTACTATGATTGTTCGCGAACCGAAGCGGAATTGGGGAATGTTGGTTAACACCCCAAAAATACTTACAACATGGTAATTATGGTAGTGAGCAATCTTTTTGATATTAGTTGCAAATTACTCAAAAGATACTAGATAACCAAAAAGTCAAATAACAAATTCGATGATTGAATACACCGTTAAAACCTATTTCCTATCTTCCTTGCCATAAGGGAGTAGTGGATGCAAACTCAGGAAAGAGTTCGTGGCAAAAATCCGCAAACGTATAAAGCAGACCAGAAATATTGTGTGTCAGATTGCAACAGCAGATATGAGAGCTTGTGGAGACAAGACTGGAGTCATTGTCAAAAGTGCTGCCCAAAGGTAAAAACGCAACGGTAAAAAAAGAGTCAATTTTGCTATCTCATCAATATTTGAAGTGATATTATAGTGGTAAAAAGTAACGTGAAATAAACAAACCTAGCGAGGAACTTCAGATCCCATAGAATGTGATAAGCTACAGTTTGCAGTACGACGATGGACCCCAATATAGCACATGCAATCGCTACCTTGAAATAATGTAGGATTACCATACATCGATATAACTTTGAATTTTTGATTTGGAACCATGATAAATCCATGAAAAGAGATGAGGAAGGGGATGCTCAAATGAAAAGCTTAGCTGAGCACAAAGAAAACATTGTTCACTTGGAACTTGTGGCGATAAGTGGTTATTACTCCATGCTAACCCATAAACTTGCAAAGTATGCGGCGTTTTTGAGATTGAATTAGATTCATAAATGCAACCTAATAATTTGTGCGCAAATGGAGAAAGTCTACAATTGAGGATGATTTTTAGTAGATACTGAATTTGCTGCCTTTGAATTAACGATTAGAAGTTTTTTTGCACAGAAACTTCCGCAGAATTTTGCTTAGAGAGATGAGGATGAGGATGCCACAAGCTCACTCACTATTCAGACGTGCAAATTCTCAGGATCTACACAGATCTGTACACATTACACTACACATGACGAAAACCCAAGCTGACAATGAATGTGTTTTTGGATAAAACTAAGAACTTGAGCGCATGACGACGTGCACATATCTATCGGTTGCCTATCAAAAGTAAGGCGGAATAAAGGAAGAATAGAATAAAAAGCTCTATGAAACAACCTCTTTGTAAAACGAAACGAAGTAAGCAGCTACTCACCTTCTTCCGGAGCATTATCATGATGACAGGTACGAATTGTCCGAAGAAGTTATAGACAACAAAAAGTGTTGCCAAAAACCATCCACATGACCATGACTCCTATTTTCATATAAATCATGTCTTATATTGTGTCATTAGAGGATAGTACCTGCATAAACTGACGCTGATCTTCCCATTGGAACCACATTCGTATTCCATCCTCTAGAAAAGTAGAAACAAGACAGAGTCGTGCAACGTGCGGTAAAACATGCCTGGTACGACGTAACACCTGAAATAAACATTTACGAGCAAATAAAAGACATGGAGACTTGGAAAATGCTGCATTGAAAAAAAAAACTTTCACGAAACTCACATCATCTGCTATATCCTCGGCTGCCGCAACGAATTCCCGCTGCGGGCCTCCCGTACGGAATTGATCCATCACCTGAAGAGCATTTGATAGAACGATAAGTTATAGCGTTGATAATTTAGGTTACTGCGATGAAAAGGAAGGCGGAACAAAGTATGTGCGACTTATAAAAAATGTCAAATAAGAACTTGGTAGAAACCAACGAAAATTCTGCCTAAAATATAAAATGACGAATGACAGACGATATTCTAGAGGCTGTAACAGGTACAATTTGAATTAATCGTTCGAGATTAGGCAAGTTCAAATCGGTGCAAGGAGCATCACCATTAAAAGAAAATAGGTGAGATATAATCATGAAAATCTATAAGCTTTTTATACAAACATAAATTCAGGAGTTTTATAGCGCAATACTGATTATAGTTGTTTTCAATGGGGGAACAATTTGAGAACACTTCAATAGCTTTGAAATCGGACTGATGGAATTGTTCCACCTGGAAGGCAGCGAAAGGCTTCGTTATCATTCGCTGGTAGATCGATAAACGTACAATCGCAACGGATTTTGGTGGTAGCAGAGATATCTATGTGTGAGGACATTACACGATGATCCGACATTGCAACGGAACAGGACCGCGACGCGTTCGCTCGCGAGGTGATGTGTAAGAAATGACTTCGAATGGTTCGCACTTCGTCGAGTGAAGCTGTACCCGATTGCTTGGCATCGTCCGTTCGAGCAATAACATCTGATGTTAATGGACGGGCGCGAATGATTCATATCAGTTTGGAAAGAAAGCTGTGCACAAATCAGCGAAGGAGAAGCATCTACGCTGGGACAAGGTTTGTGATCGTGACAAGACTGACGTCTCTGTCCAGCTGGAAAGCAGACTATTTACACAGTGAGGACGTGAAGCGAGGCTCACCTTTGCGATTAAAGAAGCAAAGTATCTGCTAGACTTTGCTGTACGAGTCTAAATACTTTTGAAAGTAAACAGTGTATAGATTCAGTTCAAATTCCAGCGCATACGAAGTTTTTAGGGCTACTAGAACAACTTTTAACTCGTTGATTTTCCTTCTTTTTACGACGTCCTGCAGCGCAGTGCTTGAGCGCTAACATTGATTCAGTTGATGCATAATGTATGAGGTGAAACAGTTAGTGATCGGTGAAATTACACAGCTGCTGGCTGTTTGTAGCGGAGCACGATCAAAACAACAATTTTGGTATTGCTCTGTATTTCCAAAGAGACGAAAATTTTGACTGGCTGTCAAACCGCAGATGCCAATCTAAAGTCTCGCTATTTTTCTCAAGGCGTTACTAACATTCACTCCCTTTCATTTGTGGACTTTGAGTTGACAGCTCCCTTGAAAAAAATCTTGCGAATGCCACTGGATGACAGCAGGCACCATAATCCTGGAAAAACTCCCTACCTACCAGTTTAGTTTGCTGCAAACTCTTTAAAAAGATATGTACAGTTTGTTCCACCTGGGAACAGACCGAACCGTCAGCGTAAGTTTGCGCGTTCGCAGCGCGAAGGGTTTGCGCTGCACATGCGCACTGCCGAAGAGAGCGAAAATGCTGAAATGAGAGCAGACAAACATATCGCAGGCGGACTGCAAACCTTGGTGACGCGGATTCCCGTCATGCCAGTTTTGCCCTTGCTAGGATTAGGACATACTATATAGTTTACTGCAAACATACAGTCCTTGTCAACCTTCTGCTCCCTTTTCCACCAGCCAGATCGCAAACCCAGAGCCGCGCACCGATTTCGCGCGCGTATAGATTGCGCATTCACACTCGCCTCATCGATCCGGGTTGACGCGCCAGGCCCTTGCGCTGCGGACGCGTAGCTGCTAAGAAAAGGGAGCACTCGATTGGCATCGGTATGTCCCCTGAGTTAAGCGGGCGCAACGCGGCGCGCGCAGTACAGAGTGTTATCGTCCTGGGCGAATTTTTTTTACATTTATGAACCGCATATCTCTTCAAGTCTTGTACATGTTCGAGTTTGCACCTACATTCTCAAGAAGCTCTGTTACCGAGTTCAGCTGAAAGAATGAACTGCAACATTCTAATCAGAATAGTCCGAGCATGCAGAAGCGTTCCGAGTATACACGCGGACTCTAGAGTCGGCGATCGTATTTACTTTTATGCTCAACAACTTTTGCTGCATGGAAATTGATAAAAACAATGCGGAGAAGTCTACAACATATCGTTCTACCCCGATGTTGTTCTTTCTACCCTCTTTTTGTTTTGGAGGACAGTTATATAGCAGTTGTGATCGCGTGCTGCCAGTCTTACAGACTCAGAAGATTAATACGATGTGATTTTTTATGGCTTGAAATTCGCGATCGGAGATGTTGCCGAATTAAATCGATTCATAACGTGATGTTTAATTTTGAGTCCAAATAGGGGAATGAAGAATCCTTAAATCCCATGATATAGTCATCAGCTATATCTCACTTATTTGAGTCAAGGCTAAAAGAAGTGCCAATATTTACTGAACGTGTGGTCATCGTCTTTGTTAGTAGACGTAAGAGTGCCAGGTGAAAGTGGGAGATAGCGTGATATCCAATAGCAGCCATCCTACTTATCTTGCGCTGCTGTCATTGGCTGACAGCAGCCCGAGATGAGTAGCATGGCCGCTATTGGCTATCACGCGCACTTTCAGACGCTACCCAGTTCTGGCTTACTTCATAGTGAATTTCACTATTTTAAAGTGAAGTGTGCTTTGGCACTAATGATGAGACCTTTCGTCCAGTGGCTGAAATGCGTTTGCTTGAAAATCATCCAAATAACATGCTTTCGTCCGTAAATAATCAAAAAATTCTCTGGATACTATGAAAATACACGCTTGCTTTGTGAAGAATTTTTAATTTGACGGTGTAGTTGCAAGCTTGCGGAACTGGACTGCTTCTGAAAGAACTTCGGTCGTACAACACACCCCTTCATTCAGCAAAATTTTCTGGCCCCCACATCCAAAAAAAATTTAGGAACTGCTGCAATTTCAAAATTGTGAAATTTTAGTATCTCTAAATACCTTTAGGGTATAGTCTCGGTGATCGGATTGAGCGGTAACTAAGATTAGCGAACCATATCTGTTTCGGAACTGTTTCGAAATGGAAAATGTTGATAATTACTACTTGCTTTACAAACATATGACATACTTTGACAAAAAAGACGGTAGAATGTGCGAATTTTGTCCGCACAAAATGAAAGAAAATACGAATTGATTACCTGTTTTCATGGCTAACATCTGACAACGAGGAAACACGAAAATATGCTGTCGAAAATTTTATATTATTCAATGATCTTTTTCTTGATGGCATTATCTACCCTGCTTGAGTGTTTTCTAAATCTCAAGAATTGTATGGCCTTTGAAATATTTCCTGTAAGCTGAGAAAATTCACAAAGCTTGAAATTATACTTTATGGTTATGAGTATGATTTGGCAATGGTGGAAGAGCGGTGTTTGGTCTTATACATACCGAAGAGGTTCCTTTAATCACGTTTTCTTGCCGATAAAGCTACAAATAACCGTATCATATTTCATACCCATACATAAAATCCCAGCGCTTCCTCAAGAAGAACTGGCATATAACTTTATCGAAAAGATTCCAGGAATCTTGGATTTTTTACGTTGCCTCGTATCCCAGTAGCATTGATGCCGGTCAAATCGGCCACCGCTATTCCATTATTCGGTCTGACATCCTCGCTTGTATCAAAATACCTATTTTTGATGCCATTCGTCCTTCGATGATATGCTTTCACAACTATGACGCACGCTCAACTTGGCCATCTCTGGCAAATTTCGAATATTGAACCCGTTTAATTTTTGAGCAAAGTATATGAGTTTAGAAACTATTCTGGCAGGAAGTATCCAGTAGTGATTCGTCACATTTTCTTCCTATCGTTCAACTGTTTATTTTATTCGTTTCATCATTCATAATTATGGAGTTGAGACGAAGTGACATATACACATCAAATTACATCTATAGAAGATCATTTATACATCTACTGTCGTCATTCAGCGCCAGAGAATAAAAATAAATAGTAGTTACCTATTTTATGAGAGCATGCGATGATATGGCTAATGACTCATCTTCCCTTTCTTCTGGATACTACTACCGTTCCTTTTTTTATTCACCTCTCTGTCTTGTACGTAGGGTAAAATAAGGTGGGACGAATTAGTCAGTTATATAACTACCTTTTGACCTAATAAACTGGAAATATGAGAGGGTTGCGATGAAACTCAAAGCGTGTTCAGTCATATCCGGAAACCCGATTTTATCTCGGAATGGAGATCTTTAGCCAAGCGATAGGATATAGGATTTATTCGGGTTTGAGAGAAACGAACACAAACTCTAGCTCATGCCCCCTCTCTTTACTGTAGAACGTTGATCGGTACCTCGCAATACTACGGTTGAGCGAAAATCTTCTCATAGCTTCGTGGTACATAGAGGAAGCAACCGCAAAAATGTAAGCGTTGTGCACTACATATTCAGAGCTTCTGAAGTAAGTGTTATAGGGATGAACTCGTGCGTCGCTTCAGTATCGCATAATTCCACACTCAAAATTATCGTATCACCACGCGTCTCAAGGAACATTAGAGCCATAGAGGAGTCAAAGACAAGAAGAAATTAGTTTGGATTGCAAAACCAATAAGGAGCCGCGAAATCTTTCCGGAGATAATAGTCTCTCTTATGAAGTACAGTACTCTCTTAATGCGCGTCAGCATAAGGGCTAAAAAAAAGAAGGCGCACAGGACTAAGAAGAAAACAATGTATACTTTTACTCATCGCATAAATATCATGATTGAACATATTACTTGTAGGGTGTAAGGTCTTGATGCAAAAGTGACACATTCATTGGCTCATCTAACGATGAGTTCAGTAGGATTAGTACAGTGACTGGTACGCAATGTGTCAATGAATTATTTAATTCACACAAAAGTTGTGACTTCTTGATAAACGGATCGAAACGTTATCGGAACTGCTTAATCCTCGATTTCAGAGAGTATGTGCTTTATCTGGGTTTCGTTGTTCGGGTACTAGGTGAAAGGGACTGCATGAGATTTTTAAAAGGTTCGCAA